TCTTGAAGCAATGAATAAATAAAAGGAGGGAAAAGAAAATCAGTCTCGATCCTGCAAAAAATATAAAATAATATAAATGTAATGAATTTTACTGTATTTTATTTTATCTTATTCTAAGTATCTTATTCTAAGTTTTTTTTTGCTCCTTCTAACTTCTATTTACTCATTTTTAGAAAACAAAAGTTTTCGCAATTTGTCAAAACTTATGTTCTTCTCTTTGTAAGAGCTCTCGAGAAACAGAAGGGTCTCTGTTGACTTTTTATCATGCAATTATGTGAGCCTTTATTGTGTTGCGTACGTGCAGAATATTACGACAAGAATTTCAACAAGAATTTCATTTCGGCACAATTGTGATTTCACTATGCAGTCTAACGGCTATGCAGCCTCTTGTAGCTCGGGAATATTCGAGAGGTTTTTAATTAGAATCGAAATGAGTTTTTAATAATGCAATGCTAATTAATAAAATATCATTAATATTGATTAATGAAAGCCTGTACGAACTTTGAATGAAGAACTCTGTGTTACACAGAACAATGTTCCAATTGCCTCTTAAGGCAAAGTTATTTTTATCATTTTAATAATATTATTTCTGACGTCAGTATTCAATCGATAAGCTCTCTCTTACTGTTCAAGTAAAAGGGTTTTGTTCCAAGTAACAAAGAAAATGTTCCTTAATAATAAATTATCTAGACTTTATTTAAGGGAAGGAAAAGGGAAAATTTGAGCATTATACTACATTTGTCCGGAAAATTTACAGACGGGTCTGGAACTCGTCACGCCATATCGCAGTTGTCCCCGACTATCGATTGTGCCCTGCAGCAACTGTTGCCGCGTCTCGTGACCCGGCTTAAACTAGAAAATATTTCCTTGTAATCATTTTCATGGCATAAAATTCCTCCATAAAAAACACTGTCCATAAAAATAAAAGATCCGTTTATACGTTTTTGATGCTTAATTTGTATGAATTAAGAACTTTTTGCCAAACGCGTTTTATAAAATTGCTTTGAGTATTAATATACAAGTATATTAAGTAAGTTAATATACTTGTATATTGAGTATTAAATAAAATTGAATATTAAATCATATAAAGACAAAAAGACTCGAATTAAATTTTAATGACAATATTCTTTTTTAAAATTGAAGATATTAAATGTTGCGATGTAAGATTTATAAATTAAATTTTGATTTAATATGATATAAAGTCTACTAGAGTTTTATTCAGAAAAAATGGTATAATTTTCAATACAAAATTTGCGAAAATTTTTTAAAAATTACTAACTTTTATTTTAAAAAATTAACAGAAGAATATTTGTTGAATAGAATTTGACTTTTTTCACTTTTCGTGTTTCTCCGTCTTTCAAGTGAAATCTGTTTCACTCTTCATAACTATTTAAACACGAATCTCGACGGTTGCGCTCGAAAAATCTCGTTTCGATATAATGACGAAACTTCCCTCAGGCTGCTCGGCCAAAATTATCCGCCAACTGTTCGAGACGAGGACACGTATAATGCGGTCGATTATATGAAGGATCCGAGCGAACGAACGAACGAGCGAACGAAAAAAGCGCCGCGGTGCTTTTTACATATCTAATATGAACAAAATTATACAATGCGGAAATCTCGGCCGGCAATGGGACTCGTCTATCCTCGTTTATGCTCCTTATCGGCGCTTGCGGGACAAGAGAAAATTCGAAATGCACGAAAATCTTAAATGTTCTTTTATTGCTCCTTTTTCGTAGCCTGTCGCTCTTCCAGCCGATCTACGGGACAGATTTCACAAATTCAGATTCACTCACTCTCTCGCGGCTAGAAGGGAGATAACGGAAAAGGGATATGTACAGCAGTTTGAGCTTGTTCGCCGGATAAGAAGACCAACCTCTATGTCGGACTTACAATTGAACACGTAGTTAACGCGTTAAGCGAAATTTCACGGTATTATTCCTATTTCAGTCTACAATGTCTACTACAATGTCTTTGTCAAACACGTCAGAAGGATAATATATACTAGAGAGTGAGAGATAGAGAGAATAAAGTGTCAAATCTGGAAATTGTATGAATAAAAGTACAGTTGCAAAAGAGAATCCGTAAATAAAACAGCAGAAACAGCGGAAAAGTATTTTTATTATTATTTCAGATCAACGTGCCGAAACAATTCCGATCGAATATATTGACGGAATTAAAGAGACGTAATTAAATTAATATCGAGGAGAATTTGTTGTGAAGAATCTCAAGTATCACTCGAGACGAGAGCAATACGAGAGCTGCGTTTATGGTCATCGATTTGATGAATTCTCTAACTTTCGAACAGAATGCTCAAGATATTTAATTTATTCAACTCTCGAAATCGTCCAATCTAATTTTGTTTCGACGAGTTCTGAATTTTCAAACTGAATAGCTTTTATCAACAATTTATTATCCTGCAAGAAAGGATGGATATTCACCTGCAGAATAAACGTTACTCCGTTGATTGATCACGTGGAGCAGTCGTTGCGACATTTCTAATAAGACGAGCGTATAGCTACATCCGGTATACGTGTCGCTTCTGGACTACATGCAAGCTTTTACCACGGCAATCTCGCTGTGAATACATGCAATGAATGCAGCCATAATAACCGCATCGTCGTCATCCTTATCTGTACATCGTAATCCCGTTTGTGTCACTGTAGCTCGCAGAACGAACCGATAAAGTGCGCTGCATTATAGTTGCACTCAACCTTGCCTATTTATCTTTTATTTTTTTCTTTTCATTCTCTCCCGCGCGTTCGTATATGCAATAAAATTGAAAAGACAAGATATTAAAAGTAAAAAGAACTTTTACTTCTGTGGAAATGTCTTTTTTAAAATGTCTTTGAGAAAGACGTCTTTTTCGGGATGCCTTTAAAACGTCTTTAAAACATCTCTCTGTCCAGTCGGAATTGTCGTACCTTAGTATTCCATCTGTGAAAACAATGAATTTAATGAAAATTTTATTTCCAGAATTTAGAGTAAGTATTTTGATCAAAATTCAAGTTTAAAAAGATTTCGCGAAAACCAAGATTACATTTAAAATTAAAAAGTTTTTTTTCTCCAGTTATTTCGGTATTTATTCAACTTTTCAGTTAACAAATATTGCAACGTGTTGCGGCAATAAAAGATGAAATTAAATTTTGATGGCACAAAGTCAACCTGAATTGGCTTAAAAGATAAAGTTCTGATTCATGCATGATAAATGCACAATCTGCTTCTCCCGCCAGCGGCATTTGCCAGCCGCAGGGTTGAAAGGATTAAAGGAAGCGTTGCTAAGAAGGCGGATGCAATATCAAGTTTGCAAAATAAAGCGATCTAACGGGAATGTAGGTACTTCTCGTTTACCACCCGCGATATCAAACTACGGAGCACCGCTTTATGAATATGTAAAGTCCGTTAGAGGCGCCCCGGCAAATTGTTTGCGGATCGCATCAAATATTGACAGGGCGCTTGTAAATTTATTCACGGTCGAAATAATGTATAGCGGCCGCGATGAGGCCGGATAAGTTGAAATCTCGATTTTCCCCAGCAACGGAGGAAAATGAAATTCTTATCTTTTGAAAAAATAAGATTCAGATATTCTCGAATATTGTGAATTTTCAATTTTTAATAATATATATTTGTAACGTTGTATTTTTTTCATGGAAAGATATTTAAACGTTGACAAATTTTATAAAAGTAACGTAAAATAAGCCAATTCCAGCCAGCTTCTCTCTATGAAATATACTAGAGAGTATTATAGAATATACAGAATTACTAACGGAATTCCTCTGCGAGTTCGCAGTTGTATAAAACGGGCTTTAATGAACATGTATCAAGGGATGTGCATTCGGAGCAATCGACAGAATCGCCAATTAGAAAGCGCGTGAGGAAGCTACAAGGACGATAATGAAAATAATAATTAGCCGGCGCGGTTGCGGTCGATTAATTGATATGGGCGCCGAATCGTCATCATTCTGTAGGGGCACTTAATTAACATGGCCGGCCAATCAAGCGCTCGTTTACTCCCCTAATCGTATCGACACGTTCATTTTCCGCAACACGTTTATTCTTGCTAAATTTCCTCGGCTAAAAATTCCTTGCAAAATGTTTAATTATCGAAAAGACAAGTGTCAATTACAAATATCAAACATTAAATTACAAAAAAAGGAGGTGAAACTGGAGATGCTTTTCTAACAATTAAAATAAGTTCAGAAAGAAATTTTAATTCTGTTAAAAAAGTTGCGGGAAAATTAACTGTTAATTGATCTATGAAAGTTTCACAAGAAAAAGATAATCGATGAAATCTGTGTATTTCACGCCGAACAGAAATCGAAAGATACAAAAAGCATCGAGATGATCGCAATGGAGATCGCTATCATCAGAATGGTGACGCGTGATTTGTTGAATTACTGCTCGATCTAACCTCAGTGATCACCCTTGCGTGTTCACCCTTTTGGTATTACCATAGTAAATCAGATTGACGCACCCCTTTCGTGTGTGCGAGCCCACCACTGCTTGTTTTAATTACATCAAAAGCGACAGGCGACACGTCGCCCGACACGCAGAGTTCGCTCGTTTTACACAAAACTCGAATAAACTTCAAAAACTTTTTTATATGCATTATTACTTACAGTAATATCAAGAATTAAATTACAAATTTATTTTAATTTTAACTGTTGTTAAATAATACATTATGCTAATTATTATTGTCTCCATCCCTGGACATTAAATGTGTAATTATTTTTAATTGCAAATTTTTTAATTTCCGAAGGAGAGGTTTTTTTTTATTTTGAATTTTTAAATGATGATTTACGATCTTATAAAGGATATAACTGTTTGATTCTTGGTTGTAGTAAAGTTTGTCTCTCCTAAAGACATAGTAATTCTTTACCGGGCTGTCAAAACTTCGTAAGACCTTAGAGTGCTGAAAAATGACCTTTTAAGGACGCGCGACGTGAACTATCAGGTGTTGAGAATATCGATCGATCACCGCATAATTTTATTGATTACAGCCGGAGCGAGAGACGGCGGCGGTAGGAGATACCCTGTGATCGTATTTGTGCACGGCGAGAGCTATGAATGGAGCAGTGGAAATCCCTACGATGGCAGCGTCCTAGCCAGCTACGGAAGCGTCGTCGTCGTCACTATCAACTATAGACTCGGCATCTTGGGTGAGTCATGACAGATACTTTCAATCCTAGTTTTGTCGATACCTAAATCTTTCCAACTCTAAAGTTCTGGATTTTCAAGAAAGACAAATTTTCTATTTTTTGGATCTGAAAATCCTCTATAATTCAAATTCCTGAAACTGTGAAATCCTGTATTTTTGGCTTTCTAGATCCTTCTAAATAACTGTTTGAAATTGGAACTCTTCAATTTTCAAGTTCTTAATACGATCTTTCTTCGGATTCTTAAAATAGTTTTCTTGCTTTTTGTATTTTTACGCAATGAATTTAATTTCCTGCAGAAATAATTCTAAATTTTTGCAGCTAGTGGAATTAGATTCTTTTTCTTTTAATTTTACACCTCCAGGTTTCTTTATGAAAATGAGTTGAGTTTTTTACAAATTCTTAGATTAAACCTTCCTTAATTCTTCCGTTTTTTCAAATCTATATTTTCTTCACAATCTAGTCTTCCTAATTTTGTTAATTTTTTCTTAATTTCTATACCTGCGTTCCGACTCTTCTGCGTTAAATACCTCAATAATTAACCTCGATTGCCGAGTCAGATATAACTTTCACAAACAGTTCAGAACTCAGATAAATCACATATGTTAGTTGCTCGCTTAATGGTGTGAAACGCTACCTCGCAGCAGTTAAGGTTTGAAACGAACCAGTCGACCGTAGCTCATTAGCTATTTAGGGCCGGTTGCACCGACGTCACTTAGCGTTAAGTGTGTTTACTCAATTTTCCTGCTCTATCTGGAAGCAACATTTAGACTAAAGGTCATAGTTGCGACAGCAAAGTCCGCATATATGCATGCATATTCATGCAAAACTAAGGACACAGCGTTGGCGCAATCCTTGGAACCTGACGATTGATTCAGAACTTGCGTTTGCAGAGACAGCGCATGTACGCTTATCTCGAGACCCTGTTAGAACTTGTTACCCCGCGACGTTTGACACGACCGGTCGGAGAAAAAACAGCCGCGAAAAAAGCAGAAGTGCACGAAGAAGCGAACGGTGAGAAGTTGGCGGCCGCGAACGCCACGGGGATTGCAAGTTCCGGCGACCCGAGGCTTGTTGCCTGGCAACCCGGGCAACCAAATCTAATAGGAAACTCATTACGGCCAGGTCTTCCGTTTCACCAAACTAAATTCTTGACTCCACCCTCTCCCTTTCTCTCATCCTACTCTCTTCGGCGCGACAGCGCCCCGCCATTCTCGTCTATCACCCCATACCGCATACAGGGTGTCTTAATACCATTTCTTCCTCAGCTTCCAAACGAAACAGAATTGAAAATCGCGGGTCTTTAAATCAAGCAGATCTAAGAATTTGAGAGTCCAAAAATCTCGGAAACCGACCAAAAATCCATGTTGGATTCAATTCTAATTGGAGATTAACTTTGAATTAATTATTGTCAGATTAAACGCTAAATAATTATTATTTGTCGCTGTCATTATCACGTCATATCAGATTGAGCTAGATGCTTTTACGTTAATGAAATAACTTGCGTTAGAATGGAGGCTAGCGACAAGGGAGACGTCAAAGGGACAGTTTTCATCAACATTAATTCAAGAGTCCGCGATAATTCGCATGCTAACAGCGCATAGTAAATTTGTGTTGATTCCATCGATAACAGGATGAAAAACAAAAAGAGATGCGAGGAAAAAAAAAACACAACAGGATAAAATGGCGACGCCCAGGAAATTCCACTCCGCGGTAGCCGCAATTTTTCCCTCCGTTTTTTTTTTCATTTTCCTTCGTTTCGGAAAAATGATGCGGTGCTTTGTGAATACCGCACCGACCGGCGATACTCACCAACACCTATTCCCTCCTCCCGCTCCCTTTCCCTTCCCGCTATAATGCTCTGCGTGTGTACCAGCGTGTACCGGAAAATTTAAATCAACGAATAGCGTTCAGCAGTTCTATTGTAACGAGAAGAATAGGAGACGCGGAAGCGCAACGCGACAGATACGCCGGAGGTTGAATATCAAATGGGACATGACCAGTGCTTTATTTCTATTCCGCTTTCACGTTTCGCACTTTTCTGATGCGTGTAAGCGCGTGCGCAAGTGCTTTGTGCATTTTTTTCTTTTTTTTTTCTTTTTTTGAAATCGGAGTAGAGGGTCGTTATTGAATCCAACTAAACATGGCCCGAAGGTGGAAAGACGAAATAACGAGATGTCTCTCGTCATAAGATAAAAATGTACCGGTGACACAAATATCCCACACGAAAATCTCAGCGCGGCTCTAATTTTTCTGGAGTTTTGCATCCGAAGAATTCGAGAACGAGATACGGGCATTGTACTATTTGACAATTTAATCAGAATTAGATTGGTAATAGAAGCATTCCATTTGGACAGAGTCTTGAAATATGAATGTAACAATCAATGAAAGCTTTAACAGAAATTCAAACAGCAAGAAACTTAAGGAAAATTTTTTTTTATGATCACCGATTATTACTTTGCAAGAACTGAGTGGAAAAGTGGAGAGTAAATTAGCCAAGGCATGTTAAATAGTCTGGAATATCAAGAACTTCTGCACAAAGATAAAAAAGAAATGAATAAGAGCTGCTAATATTCTGTTATAAAACATTCTTAACAACTCGGAGACAATTTCATTGGCATTTCTGCAAGAAAATTAAGACAATAAAATCTCGAAAGGAAGATATAAGAAAAAGTTGGATATTACTTTCGTGACAATTTAATCAAACGGTTATTTATTAGGCGGAAAATCTCAGAAAAGTGTTGCGCTAATCCCGGAAGGATTTATAAGGATTCCACCAAATCTTATATAAGAATCCCAGAAAAGGGACATTTGGGCGTTTTTCCACTCAGAATGAGGCTTTCCAAATTATCGATTTGGCAGCGGGAAACAGTCGGCGCAACATCGTTGACCCAGATCCTAGCGACGGTAACGCCTCTCTTGTTAAGGCAGCGAGTACCCTAAAGTTAATGCGCACTGGCAAGTATATATATATGGGTGGCTCATAATGGAAATAATCCTCTTAGCTTTGCGAAGAACGGTCTACAGTATGTCGGCTGGTAAATATGATGGATAATTTAATGGCGCAGCGTGTTTCGAGCGGCAAACACACCGGCCAAGCGCGACTCCTGTTGCGAGCGATAAAATATCACGAAACTTAACGACAGCAACAATCGTCGAATTCGCGACTTAAGTCGGCGGAAAGAAGGCGGAAAGGAGGCCGAAACCTTCCCGAGGGGTCAATCCGATTCAAACAGCGGCTAATCGAATTTCCCTCTCCGCCTATATTAAAAGCGAGTCGAATTAATTGACTACACAGAGAACTGACACCGCTGATAATTCCTGGTTTCGCAAGATCCAATTAGGAAACGATTTTAAGGATAATTGTTACGAAAGTATTCTTATTTTCTGCTAATTTTGTTCGTATAGAAACGTTAAGAAACATCGAGAGTGCGAACGGTCGTTGCCGCGCTTAAGTGAATTCTGTAATTTGACCAAGATCTAGAAACAGAAAGAATGCAACTATAATCACTAATTGGAGACATTTAACCCGTGAATGGCCACGTGAAAATGTTTCGAATTCCACAATTTGTAATATGCAATATATTGCTGGTAGCAGCGATTGTTGAATAAAATCTGAAAATTCCGCGCGCAACTTTTCACGCAAGAAAAACCACCCATCATTCGCGGGTTGATTAAAACCACCTTGTTATTATCCAAAACTTGTATTATCGTAACTTTCTCATATTACAGTATTGACTTTTGATATCAGCGTGCAGTTCCGTGGGAGTAAAAGACTGTTCCGATGAAACAAATACGGGAATAAATATAAACAAACTTGAACAGCTGGCAGATTTATGCTGGCGAATTTATTTTGGCGGAAACGGAAGGGAAAGAGTAAAGTCGGTTCGCTGATGAATGTATTTCAATGAGAGCAAAGTCGAAATATGCATCGTGACAATACGACAAGCCTGGAGTAAGACTGTTGCCAATGGCGCCATCCGGCTCTCATAAATAACATTTCGACTCCGCCAATTGATAGTGATATCGCGTTCGGCGAAACGATACGCAAAGTAGGACGTGATACGTGCCTGGGCACTAAATCATGCCGACTGCTCACCAGACAGGGAGGAGGGGAGGGTCCAATCTCTATATCCCCGACTATTTAACCCTTGCATGCAGACAGGCTGCGCTCGGCGCAATATTTCTAAAAATTGAACGGTAAAACCTAACCTAACCTAACCTAACTTAGATAACCGAATAGATATGCAGAAATCAATTTGCTGTCGAACAGTTTGTTTTTTTTTTTCATTTTTGGGTAACAAATTTTTCAAATAATCCTCGTATTGCAACGATTCTGAATTTTTTTTTTTATAACTTAATTTCTGGGTTCGGTGTTCATAAATAACAATGATCGGCAATTGAGACACTCACTCGCGTGAAAGTGAGCATAACTAGAGCCTAGTGACTTTCTCATTTCGAGATATTCAGGCACGAACCACTTCCATTTTATTGTGCCGCACGATTTATATTGCCTGTCACTCGATAATCCGCGACATGCGACGATTGGAATTAACCCCGGTGGGCGGTAATTCCGGTGCGATCACCGGTGATGTTATACTAGCCGTAACCGGCGATAATGGACACCGAGAGCCTCGCGCTGACCATAAACGGGGCTTGTTTTGATTGCAGGCTTTCTAAACGCCAACACAGACTCGCACTTACGCTCGCCTGCGAATTACGGCCTGATGGACCAAATCGCCGCATTACACTGGGTGCAGGAGAACATCGCTTATTTCGGGGGTGATCCTGGAAACGTCACGCTGGTGGGACACGGCACCGGCGCCGCCTGCGTGAACTTCCTGATGACCAGCCGCGCAGTTCCTGACGGTGAGTTCACACTCCACACACATAATATTCCTGAATTTCTATTTAACATCTTATATCGGATAATTATTGATTCCTGTGCTTTTTTCATTCGATATCTATTCGATACAACAATTTATTGCTTTGAATACGAAATTCGTAAAGAACTATTTCTCTCGTCGTCGACATGTGAAAACACAATAATATTACGTTGAATTGAATGAAAGAGGAGAGAAGGAATGTGAGGGGGGATGATGAAGGTCGAAGGGCGAGAAGCCACACGAGACAGAGGAGCCAGGAATAATGGGGTGGTTTACCAGATGCCATAAATTACCAAGGAATCAGCTGGCCCGACTACCATTGACAACTCCCAACTGTTGTGAATTATCATCCAGAAGGTCCCGGTGATAAGCTCTGTGGTTCCGAAACAGATTGCTACACTTTGTTTTTTGTCCCCTCGCGCCAGAATAAATTTAAGACCGTGCCATTTATTGGAGGACACGGCAAAGAATAATAATAGAGCTTACCGGTTTCTTGCTAATAAATAATATCTCCCTTTTTTTTTTTCACTTCGATTCTTCTTCGCAAAAATTGATTACAATATCGTGATGAATGGTAAGGAGTAATGGAGCTTAAATCTCCCGCCTTTAATTATATCTTAGTCCTTTCAAATCCTGATTTCTCGATTCCTTCGATTTCTCTATTGCTTTAATCGCGAATTTGAACTTCCCGATTTCTCGATTCTGCTTTTCTTCTAATTCTGATGTTCGTGTCTCTTCGAGTCCTTCGTTTCCTTTGATCCGACACCTTTAATTCGTTGCTTGGCTACTGGGATCCAGCTCCCTCGAAGGAATTAATTAATCCTCAGGTATTATGGAGGACTGCCATTAAATCCAAGTAACGCGACAGAATTTGAGCCCGCGATAATCCTTTAATAGTCCTTTAATGTCGCGAGCTTCGACACCGTCTTATCGTTCGGTGTCGTCCGCTCTCGGCGACGACGGATATCGGAAGAACGAGGCCATCTTGATTCTGTAATGTCGGAAATACGTCGAGGATGCTGTCCGGATATTCAGAGTTTACCCCGGTATCTCCTTCGCTAAATGAATGAGATCCAATCGGATATCGACATGTATCGGGCTGATAAGACCTCTCGTGAAGACACATTTCGTCGAACATCAAGATCGTTTGATTGGCGAAACAAAGGTTACGCGTGGAAGAATATTTATTTAGCTACATTTATATAGCTGTATTTAAACCGCAATTATTAATTTACTATCTACAATTTTTCGCAATTTTTACGTGCAAAAGTCTTTTCCGCGAGAAATAAGTTTGCTCAAAACAATTTTTGGCCTTCAAATTTTTTTTTTAATTTATTTTATTAATTAAAGCAACACTACTTTGTGTGTATATGCACAATAATGTTCCGACAAGCACGTGTATTAAGATTAACGATTCACAAGATTGGAATTAAGCGACTTATTCCGGGGTTCTCTGTGTAAAATAATAGACAAACTAGCACGATGAAACTGTGAGGTCGTGCTTATCCTACCGCTTTAATTTTCTTTATAGTGCAAATTATACACCCTCTTGTCTAATGTCTCATATGCTTTTAGGAAAATTAATAATTAATAAACTCCAGTTTCCAGCTAATTCTGTGGTTACAGGAATATATTTTTATTTTATTATTATTATTAAAAAGAAGAAACTTACAATTTTTTATTTTCTTTAAAATCTTGACTACATGTAGATAACATTAATCAAACATATTTTTATAATCAACGTTGAGATATAAAATGAGGCTATCGAATGCTATATATAACATTTTTTTACTACATTTTGCAATATTATAAAATAAAGTGCATTTTATTTACTTGAAACATTTTGTATTTAGCGACGTTCAATACGTCTTGCTTGTCATTTTCATAGCGGAAATCGTTGATAGCGCCGTAATGGAAGTCGTTGATTGGAAATAAAGCTATCGAGCGGTCGGGATGAGTATTCGTTACTATGCATTGAAACCCTCGGATTGTATTTCGTTTACTCAGGTAATATCGCAGCTTTGCTCGCGAAGAGAATCGACCCCGAAATCACGCCGAAAATTCAATTTCTGTGTTGCGATATATAATCTTTTCCCACGCGAACAAACACTTTTGCATTATGAGATATGATTTGCATATTCCAAGATAAAACGGGCTCTTTCGGAAAGCATGATACAAGAATTTCATACGCGAATTCCGGAATCGCATCTAGAATGCAGTGATTCTGAGATGGGATCTTCTTCGCGAGATGCAAAACGTTTTCAGAAAACCGAGAATGCAAAAATTGCAACGTGCTAAAATTGTACGATAATTATTCTGCTCTTTCAGTTGCGCCTTTCGTAAAAAGCAAAAATCAATTTTCAGGCCGATGTGGGCTTGACAAACCTCACAAAATGTATATATGTGTATGTGTAGCATTAATAACGGCTCGATTGCAGGTCTGTTGTTCCATCGAGGCGTCCTGATGTCAGGCAGCGCGCTTTCACCCTGGGCGTTGGTGAGAGGCGCCGCCAATTACGCCATGCAGGTCGCCAAACACCTAAATTGTTCGTTGGTGAGTACTAGCAAACATGTCCGTCCGATCGTCGAAATTATCCTGCGCGTCAGTCTATAATTTCATTAACCCCTTCCGTTATTCCCTTCCACTATTAATTTCCCGGAAATGTGGCATTTTTATTTACGAATGTTATGCACCTAAATAATACAATGCTAAAATTAACAGACACCGACTGCAGCAATGTTGCAAAAGTTGCATTTTAATTATTAGATTAACTTTTTGAAAAGAAGAAATTAAATTTAACAAATTTTTCTAATTACGTTAAGCTAAAAAAGAATTAAATAAAATGTTAAAAACAGAAAAGCTGGCGCAAAAAATTTTTCAACAATTCAAGCACGTTCTTTCGACAGATTTCAACTTCGCGAAAGAAATAAACGCGTTGAAATTAGCATTAAATTTAGATGCGTATCGTTTATTTCAGTTTCGCGAGGTTGATCGACAGGATACGTTTCGTTTCATCGCATCGTATCACTTGTAGCATTAATTCTTATTCGCTCGTTTTCAAACGCGACTAGTATAATTCACAATAATGCCAATCGTCGGCGGCGAAACGGCTGCGTAAAAGCGGATGAACATAAATTAAAATATCAAATGCGCGAATAACGGCGCAGCCGTGTTTTTACAGCGTTAATTACGCAATACCAATTATATTAACGGTGCGTTTCAATTAAGCTAATATACACCGGAGACATACAACAGCCCCAATAGGCGACAGCGCGCGCGCGCGCACTTTCAATAAAAGAGACGCTAAATTTCGCAAATTGCGAATTGGGCGAGGCAAATTTAGTGTATAGTATACTGAAACGACAGTAATTATTTTATCAGTTGGAAACTTTTGTATTAGCTGAAGGACATTTTGTACCACTTGTGTTAAAATTACGTATCAATATAAATTAAAAATAATAATAATAACGTAAAATGTAATATTGAATAAAAACCTTAAGTAACCTTCAAAAGTTAATAAAAAGCACTACTGCGCTACGTTACATAGATTCTTCGTTCTTTTTATTCGTCTTTTCTTCTTTTTTTTTTACGATACACATCCTGTACTACAGACGCTATGAAAAATATGTTTTTCTCGCTTGACGGTTATTTTTATTGAAGGTGAATTACGTACTTGGCCCACTTTATAACTGCAGAGCCACCGTGACGTCTTCTTTATTGAAATTGATATGCAGCGACGATATTTCCGATCCGCATCGAGAACCCTGATATCTATAAGCCCGACGCGTTCTCGTCCGTCAAAAATAACCCAATAAAAGATAACCCGGTTTCATCGGTGTTTTTCCAATTCGAACTTTCCCCCGTGTGTATTTCGGAGGTGTGCGAGAGAGGACGGGAATAAAATTGATTTCCGCTACAAGTTCGCTGATCCGAACAGCATAATATAATCCCTACCTCGATTTCCATTTTCACGCACGCCACCATTTTTCCGCGAGGCACTTTCAGAAACATCGGGAAACAATCGACGTTTAATCCTCATTTAATCGTTACTTTCTATATCGAGCCGCAAATTTGTTCTCTTTTAGACTCTATAACATTGTTTTTCGGATAACGAATCAGAATTTTTTTCTACATTAATAACACGCGTCAAATAAAAATTTCATAAAATTTATTTCATATTAATTTGCTGGTTGAAGAATGCCTTTCGTTATATTTATTTTATCTTACGAGATGATATTTTTGTTTTGCTCGTGCGATGAAAGGTTCTCATATATTTCTTATTTTATAGACTGTATACAATAAACTGCACTTAATGCGCGAAGCAATTCACATGGTAAATCGCCTGAGCGTGGTAGAAGAGTTTCCAGAATTAGTGCATTTTGGCGCGCTATATGCAGGATCGCGTCGGGAAAGGGTCGACATTTTCCGGCGGTATTTTCCGGCGAGAATATATCGTCAGAATGAGCTGGCGCCTTAACGAGGGCCGGCGCACCGCCGACAAGGTAAACAAGATTTTCGTGCGTCGCTCAGCGAAATTCAGCGATGTGCAAGCTGCCGCCGGTCCAAAGATCGGCTAGTTTCGGCGGCGATTCGCTTTAATCCGGCCGTACGCAAATGAATTGCTTTAACGCTGGTAATCGTCTTTGGAAATCCAACTCGCAACGCAGACGGAAGCTAGCCGCAATCGAATGTCGAATCGGCCGCTGACGAAATGGGCGAGTCCCACGTGTGCAAATTACCTGCGCAATCTCGTACACATAAACGAGAACCCGTTCATCGCCAAATGGGAATGTTCTCGATTGCGCCTCGTTCCGATAAGATTGTTAGCGCAATTGTCTAGTCGACTTGGGGCTAATATAATACATTATACAGCTAATGAATCCCTAAACTTTATTACAAAAATTAGAAAAATAAATTTAATACTTCCTTTTCTGTGCATTTTTTTTAATGCTAACGATATTTAACTTTCTTATATTTATAAAGTTTGAAAAAAACCAAGTGATGGATAATCAAGGACATTTCGATCTTACTGACGTGCCGTTATTATTCCGTTGCAGGCGGCAGGAGATCCCTCAGTCCTGCTAAGATGCTTGAGGGACGTGTCCTTGAGCGAACTAGTGTCGGTGCCTGTTAAAGGATTGGAATTTGCGCCAGCCTTCGGCCCTAGTATAGACGGTGTCGTAATCGATCCCGGCGATCCCGAGGATCAGGACTACACTCTACAGGTCGACACGATCAATACGCTTAACAACATTCTTCTGCGGAAGGACGTCGTGGCGAAACTGTCGAGGTATCTGCCAATTTCTCTTTTTGCCTCAGTCGTTATAACTCGCGAGAACGAACTTCAAGACAAGAGAAAAATAAATAGAGCGGGAACAATACCGGAGACCTCCCTCTTCTCTCGTAGAAATATCACGAAGAAAAAGGAAGTCGTATCCTATAGCGTCCGGGGACAACCTTTTCATTCTTCGTTGAAAAATATTGAAAGCTCCCGTAAACAAGACTGGAGAACCTCGGAATTTTAATACCTAACAATTATAAAGAGATTATAAGTATCTAAGAATCTTGAGAATTTTTCTATGCAGAGATAAGAAGATACCTAACAGCTTTTCATGCTTGCGTATACTGTTAATTTTTCCCGTTTATTTCTATATTTTATATCAAAATTTCCTATAAAAAAATGCGGTACTTTAAGAATCGAAGAGAAGAATGTAAGAGAGTTCTGCAGCCGTAGAGAAATTTCGATAATATCTTGAAAGAAAAATCCTTCTATATTTTCACGAAAAAGCCTGTAGTCGAAAATGTTTGATCGATTGCAAACTCATTTACATTTTATGGAGTATTTTTATTCTTTGAGACATATAAAAGAAGGCTCATAAATTTGCAGGTACGATCTGATGGTGGGGGTTGTTCGCTCGGAAGCGTATTTTTCGCTAACCGCTGACGATGCTCAATACGGAATTGAGGCCGACAGGAGGACAAAAATCCTACGTGAATTCGTGCGAAACACGTACACGTATCACCAACCCGAGATTCTAGCAACTATAATAAATGAGTACACAGACTGGGAGCGTCCTGTGCAGCATCCAGTCAATATTAGGTGACTTAATTAAGAATAACATTTGCCGTGTTTTTTTTAACTTACTTTGATTATTTATTCTGTTAATTATTTATTATGTATTGGCAACAAATAATTATCAAATTCTATTGACGACAGATATTATATTAATCGCTATTGTTATTATATAAATATTATATAAATTATATAAATAATATTATATAAATTATTATATAAAGTCATGATAATTAACTATTTACATTTATCAATTTTTCATCTATAATTGTCTGTTTTATTATTTATCATGTATATTATATTATTGACTAGGACATTATTTATTAAGTATTCTGTCGTTTCACACCTTAGATTCTTTTATTTCAATTAATATATTTTTATTTTTATTGTAATACAACTATAAAAATCGAAGAAAATAATGCAAACATTGTGTTTTTTAACATTTCTTTCAGTTACATATTCTATTACTATAAGTTTATCTTTAGCCAGAGAAAAGTATTTGAAGTACATTATATATGAAAACCACAAAAGGGATTATCCATCCTTTTTTCCAGGGACGAGACCCTGGAGGCTCTAGGAGATGCGAATACGGTCGCCCCGGCGACGAGAACCGCAGATCTTCACAGCCAATCCCATAGGAATTCCTATCTATATGTCTTCGACTATCAAACGAAATACGGAGACTATCCTCAGGTTTGTGATGAGCCGAGATAGTACTTTTTACCGAATAAACCGGAATGAAAAGAGGTTTGAAAAATCTAGATTCTGCAAAATCTGGAGGATTAAAGATATCTGAAGGCACACCGATATTTCTAAAATTACATATGTATAAAAAAAAATGGTGTAGTTTATTTATCTATTTTTATTTACTCAAGATACCTCAAGGTATTTATTTATTTTTCTATATTAGATATATACGAGACAGAAGTTAGGATTCACCGGAAACACAACAACATGGCAGTAGCTCTTGCTTATATCTGATTTCGGAAACTTATGCGGGAATCCCTTTCCTGCCTCATTCCTCCTCTTTCCCTTCGCCCGTTCCTAGTTTCAAACTTCGAATGAATTTTGGTGGCACGATTATTAATGCCACATATATTAGCTATATCTCCCCCCCCCCTCACTCTCTTCTCCCGAGGGGATGTCTAACAAGAAGCGGATGTGTACAGGGAAATCCGAAAATTGCGCATCGCAGCGATGAGATCGGTTATTACCGTTGCATGAAATTTCGGATATTAACTTGAGATATGTATATTCGTTTGATACTTTGTATTAGGAATGCTCGTTAAAACATATTTTTATTATTCAAATATCCGTGTACGCGGAAGATACATAAATACAGCATAAATACGCGAGTCAAAAAGTTTCCGCAAAAAAATATTATCAAATGTCGGTATTTATCATAAAAACGTGTGAACTTTACGTTCACAAAGATGATAGCAATCTTCTAAGTTTTTTTTTAGATCTCTCAAGAAGTGTAAAAAAAATATTTGAATAAATTATCACTTCTGTATTTATCGTCTCGTAAATTCGAAGAATAACGGGCGGAGAAGTCGAATTTTAAAGAGGTTAGAAGGGAGAAGGCGAAGGAGGATTTGAAATTCTACATTCGCCTCGCACCTGCAGCTTTCGCGCGCTCTCTCCTTCTCACCCTATGTCGTCATTTCCGCCAGCACCTTTATGCCTTACACCCGGTGCACTTTGCATACGAATATCGTCTGGTACCTCGACCTAGCGATCACCGTTGCCGTCACCGGCGAAATGAAAGTGCATTAAACGTTCAACGCGCCACCTTTTCCTGTACCTCGCGTTTCGCGTTCCCCGTCTCTCGCACTTCTAGCCGAGAATAAGAATTGCGCGTAAACGTTGCAACGAACTTATTGCATCTGCATGTAGAAAAATGTTAAGATCGCACCCACGTTTGTCTCGCGGAAATGCTAACTCGGCGTTGCTTATTCATACAACGTGGAAGAAACCGTATCACTAAGCATTGGAACGTGTTTAATAAATCTATTTTGTCGCTTCATTAAACTCTTGGCCATCATACTTTAACAATTCAGTATTTTGCGAAAACATTGAACGATTAAATTTATTCAAAATGTGTTCATATACACTGAATACTACATTTTCAAAAAAATTTATATTTCTTACAATTTAAAAATAATAAATTGCACGTGTAACTTGTGCGCAATTTTATATTATATGAAAAGAGAAAAGATGCGAAATTTTGATTATGACTTGTTAAACTGTTATAATGAGAAACGTAATTATTTCTCGATTAGCGAATAATAGTTTAATGATGACAAATGATTGTTTTCGAGCCATGATTACTGTTATTATTCATTAATCGCGACACCAGATAATTAGATAATAACCAATCAATAATTTGATTACTCACTTGTCAATAACCATCATTTGTCAAATTCTATCTTAATTCTTCATTGCTTCTAAAAAGCAGCTCTAAACCTTTTACTACTTTTTACTACTTCTTAAAGAGCAGACTAAATAAATAATTTATGAATAACTTAAATTTTTTAAGGATTCTATTCACAAATTTGTTGAAATAGCGCGTTTAAACGCCAAGTTTACGGAGTTAGCTGAGATATTTTTATAATTTTAACGAAACATTAGAGTGCTTCTGAAACTCCAGCAGATTCCACAAGTGCTCTCGATCGAGCGCGAAAAAAAGTCCTTTGACTGCAGAAAAAGTTTTTGAATTCTGCGGTCAGTTCTTCGGTGTCACTCTCTTTTCACTCGCGCCTGGATTATTCGATTGAATCTTCAATTATAAAATCAATTTCAACTCGAATCAAGCTTCTATTGTGAAGCTTCAAGGATTGCATTTTTCTCTTCTTATTAGATCTTTGGTTTATTTCTGCGTCTTATTTAATTTTACATTTTTATTATTATATTAATTTGCACTGTACTAATCCCAAATTACTGTTGCAGAGGCCGGGATGCATTCACGGGGAAGAATTACCTTATTTTTTCGGGGCGCCTTTGGTCGGAGGTTTGTCTCATTGGCCGAAGAATTATACCAGAGCCGAAGTGTCGCTTTCCGAGAGCGTAATACTGTATTTAACAAATTTTGCGCGTACCGGGTAAGTCGTGGAAAAACTTAAAATGTTGGTAAAATAAAAATTGAATCACAATTAATGGTCGCTTTCTATCATCCAGAAATCCAAACGAAGGTACTCCTGAACCTGGATCTCTCGGCTCGGAAAGGACTCCGAGGCCGGAAAGGACCAAGCTCAAAAATATCGATTGGACCGCTTATGAGGCCGTCCACAAGAAATATCTTAGCATAGGTAAATAAATTTTTCAGAAATCTATCTTCAAAGAGGCTTAATAATAAGATTGTACTTATGTATTTTTAGTAAAAAGTTACTTATTTATAGAAATTCAATTAAAATTGATAACTTGTCGATTTTCTAGAACTCAAATCGAAGTTGAAGAATCACTATAGGGCCCATCGTCTTTCTTTTTGGTTGAACCTAGTGCCCGATCTTCACAAGCCCGGTTCAGATGACGTTCCTAGATCACATCATCTTCTCGACGACGAGCGGGTATTACAACTTTGTTACAGGAATAATCCAATTATTAATTATATGCGTATTATCCTATTTATAATATTATTTATACTTTTTTAAGTGTAAAAATCAACCAGTCAAGCTGGATTTATATTCAGAAAACAATGTTATTTTCCAGGTGCCACCCAGATTTATCCAAAGGCCGCCAACAACCGCGAGAACAACCACCATGGAAGTGACTTCCATGGAGAAATCTTTGTTCAACGCGTCAACAGCTATTCCTAGCGAATTAACCTTTGAGGACAGCACGGCGCAGCCTGAAGACGGTTTCGCGGCGTATTCCACCGCCCTGAGCGTGACAATTGCGATCGGTTGCAGCCTGCTGATTCTGAATGTGCTCATTTTCGCCGGTGTATATTATCAGCGCGACAAGAGCAATCATCAGCATCAGAACTGTTCGAAGAAGCGCCAGGAAAACGGCCAGATGCCGAACAATATCTGTGGCGAGCTGGAGACCAAAACCGCCGAGCGCCATCACATTCAGCACATACCGCCGCCAGAGTTTGCCGATCTTCAAAATAATACCTGTCACGTGCCTATGCCGCCCCCGCCGCCAAAGAACACAAAGCCCGGCAAGCCCGGTCAGAATCTCATCATCAGTCCCAATCAACTCCAGCAGGAAAGCCTGGCCATGAGCGGCACCGGGACTTTGAAAAAAGGACACAATCATCCCCAAGTCATGGAGGAGCTAAGGGTCTGACTTTAGGAGACTTCGCGGTCAGCGAAGTAACATGACCGCGAATAAGTTAGAATTTCAAATATTCGAACGATTCTAACATCGCCGAGCGCTTAATTCGAAAACTGACTACCAGCCTGACCGTGGACATCTTGAAGAAAGGACACGGTCACCTCTGAGTCATAGAAAAATTGAGAGTCTGACTTTAGGAGACCGCCGCCGAAATAACACGATCGTGAGTAGATTAAAATTCTGATACTGCCGTCGAGAAACGTTTGCGAGAGCGTTTGAAACGGTGTTCTTTTCTGACTACGATAATAGAATCTTAAAAAAGGAACTCAACAGTTATATTAAAATTTTGAAATGAAATCTGAAGTCAAAAGCGGGAATCACCTCGCAGAACTCTTCAAAAGGTTTCGTAGCGACTGTGACGCTACCGATAGGAAGTGATAAAAGCGAAAGGAAAATGAAGAAATCTTCGTTGTTGTGCGACAAATATGTGTTAGTGCAGGGACGTAGCTGGGATTTCGATCCCGAAAGCAAAATTTGCTATAGACTTTTATATGGAGCTAAGAAGAGGAAGACTAAGCTTCGGTCGCTCGGGTCCAGCTCTCTACGTCTCTGGTTTACGGCAACGCTATACTGTTATCGTTTTCTACCTTTCGAATTTACGACCAACTGCCGAAAATCACATAGTCTTTGACGGATAGACGAATCTACGTTAAGTAGAACTATTCATCTCCGGGAAGAGAACTTTGGAGCGAACTTCCAAAGAGCGATTCCAACAATTTTTCATGTATTCAGAAACATTAATTTTTACTAATATAACATGCGAGCTACTTAATTTTAATTTTTTGAACAAGCGAAACATTCGATTAATCTTCTTAATTTTCTACGTGTTTTTAGGTCATTTTTCATTATATGTATTTTATTTTGTGTTCCATCAAATATTTAAATACTGTACTATTATTATAGATATGTATAGACGAACAAACGAGTATTAAAACTCATTCACACAAGACAAGTCATTATCTACATGACTATTTTAATTTTGTTATTGAAAATTTATACATTTTAAATATGTTCTCAATTTTTATTTATTATTTTTTTGTAAATAACATTTTTATCAATAAGTAATAATGTTTCTTAATTAATCTGCTTTTATTTCACCTATCGTTTTTATTATTCTTCCATGTAATATAGACTGAAGGTTCGAGTTGATGTGAATCGTGCCGATACTGTCCTCGTTCTTCCGAGTGATTGTAATAATAATGATTCGAATTGCTGCCACCACGATTTATTTCTATGACTTTGATCGTTCAAATGCTCAATGATAATTTCAATTAACCCTTTTCTTCTCAATGACCAAGCATTTTCTACAATACAAAAATTTGTTTTTCTTTGCTACATAAAGCAAAGGTTTTGTTATAATAAAGTTTAATAAAGAAAACAATTTTGACAGTTTAATCGAATTATTGCAGGACGATATTTCGATCAATTTTTTGCGAATTGCATTGTAAAGGAAAATAAGTTTTTGCAGAATAAAAATCTAATAACTTCCTGAGAATAAAAGGGTTAAAACGGACGATCACGTATCAATCGAACAATTTTTTTTTATAATAAGAATAAAAGGGAAGTTAAATAATTGACGATACTTAACAGAATACTGCCAAACGATCGCAAGTTAAAGAAGAATTGCGAATCGTAGAATGGAAAATCGTGATCAGTCAGAATTCAAAGATAAAGAGTTGTTATAATTCAGAAAACGCGTTTAATCTATCAATATTTTAAGAAAATGGGATGATTGTAAATTTAATTAACCATTTCAGAAGTAAAAATGTGTGTGGCTACACGAAGCAGGTATTCATATTAATATTAATCGTTGACAAGCCATATTTTCTTAATTGTTATAATTTTTATATCACAAAAACTTTATTGGACTTTATTCTTTGAAATATTAATCTCATTGATTTCAACAGAAGTGATTTGTTTCGTGTTTTTTTTTAAGACAGCCAATTTATAAAAAAATAAAATTAAATTTAGAATTGTCCTATTTTTAAAGGATTAACGAAGGTTTTTCGAAAATCTGGACGGCGACAGACTGTCGAAGGGACTTTCGAATGCAATTTCGACTGTAAATAAAAATTAATTAAACTTAGGTCTGTCGCTGATACTGTTAACGAACGAAGAGTACCGATGAGCTCGGAAATACCTTCGTTTGTAATAATACTGCACGTCGATGAGAGAAACAGTATGTCAGCGTAATCGGAAGCACATTGGACGTAATTTTAAATTTGTATATAATTAATATTACAATAAACTATATAATAAACTAACAATTGTTTAATTCAATTCATCCCGAAATCCATCTTATTATTTCACATGATCAATTATTGCTCTGTTAGATCAGCTGTACAAAAATAAATTATTCAAAACAAAAGAAACCGCACAAAAGTGCTCGATACATTATCTATTTCGTTGAATTAAAAGTTTTCATAAAGTGGTATAGACTTTTTAATTAAGATTTAATTAAGATTCAACCACAACATTGGGATCTGTTTTAAACCTCAGGAATTTTTGGAATAATAAACATTTGCCTTGTGTTTCATGAACAAGTAAAACTTTATTCACTCGTTCGTTAAAGCTCTATGATTTAAATGCTATAATCGCAACACACATGTTATGACAAGTTTGCGAAAACTTTATCCGCGAAACTCGGTTTGGACTAACACGAGGTTCTATCTAAGATACAAGGTACAAAAAGTTGGGGTTGGTTCCATTGCCTTCGACGAACAAATCCCACAATCAGAGACCTTTTCGCTTTTAGTGGCAGTTAAATATTTCTTCACGCTTTTTCTCAAAACTCAGTATGAAAAAGTTATTAAATAAAATGCTTGACATATACACATTATTCCATAAAAAATACGTTCAACTCTGCAACTCGAGAAAACAATTTTTCTCGAAAAATTTATGACAAGTGTCAAAAATTACAATATTTAAAAAAACGCATTTTTTTAAATTTTGTTACGATATTTTTGGTCGAGTTTACACAACTTTGTAGCTAAACTTTGTATTTTTTACATTAATGTCACTGCCGATGGTAAACGTTATTATTCACAGAATGTAAAGCTGGCTTTAAAGTCACGTAACTCATTGTCAGACAAAAAATTGTAGTAAAATTAAAAAAAAAACATGTAAAAAATATTGTAGTTTTCGATATTTAAATTTTGCGAAAATATTTTTTATTAAGCTACAGAGTGTTGAAAGTATGTGCTCTTTTTTCGAGTTTTAAAGTGTAAAGATAAGTGTCTTTTTAGGACATCTTTAAGACGTCTTTGTAAAAACTTTTAGAAAATTAAAGCAAACTTTAAATTTTAGAATGCTTTTTTAATTTTTTATCAGCGATAATTTTTCACCGAGTTTCAATGGTTTGCAGATTGCTCGATTTTGAGCGTTTGAAAACTGTTTCTTATTTATGTTAAAATATGTATGTACAACTTTATCAAATAAAAACTAAATAAAAATAAACTGGATCTAAATTATAAATAAATAAAATTATATTGCTTAGAAAATTACAGTAATAGAACAATGTATAAGAGAAGTTAACCATCTCTCTAAATAGCATCGTTGTCAGTAAGTTTTGCTTCTCTGATCGTGGTTTATCATGCGGACAAGAACGTTTTCGTTCGCATTACATCTCGCTAGTCTGTTGCTTAATCCTTTACGATAATACGGTACAATTTGTGTATGCATTAGTTACAACTACACAGCACAAAGCCGAAACAATAATCTGCTGTTGCTACATGACTAGGATCTTATTTTATGCTACAGCAAACAAGAAACAATAGCAAAGGGTCTCTCCTCCTCTCGTCTGACATAATCATTCTTATAACAAAGAATTTGTGTTTCGACGTATTTATATTTATATATATATATATTTCTATATTTTTTTATTATATAATAAGTCGTAAATGCACTTGAGGCTCCGGTCTAGTCGGAACGTTCGTTCTTCATTATCACTCTGGTTTAATTAGCCTAATTAGAGCTAATTCATACCGTTATCGTTTTACTCTGAGCATCGCATTAAGTATCAAATACTAATAGTATTATTATTAAATGCCGATATAAGTAACATTACAGTTATTAGTATTAAAAATGTTATTACATATATTATAATTAATAAAATAAAATAGTAACGTTAATGTCAAATACAATTGTTCTGTTTCAAAGAAAAAATTTAATATGTTAACTGCATGACTTATTAAAACATTCTTAATATTTCATTTAAATTATTTGGAAGTTAAACTATTTGCAAAAGTATATATATATATATATATATATATATATTAAATTAGAAATAAAAACTTAATATAATATTTAATTCTTCTTGAATATACATTTGAGAAATGCTGGCAAAAAAGTTATCTCTGCGTCAGTTTATTAATTAATCAATAAACAATTAAAGTAGCTATCCGATTTGCTATATGACGATCGATTCGACTAGATCAGTATACTTCGGTTTACTTATCGATTACATTATGAAAAGAATACATTGCCTACAACTTTCTTAAATTCTTCGATTTGTGGATGTCTATCAAATATTTTTGATCAGGAACAAAATATATGTTTTCTTTGGATTTAATGCAACAACTACAATCTGTTAATAATACATTTATATTTAACTGTATAAATTTATAAATTTAAAGATATTTATAATTACACTTTTCCATTTTGTTACAGTTTTAGATTGTTGTAGGCAAATGTTTTCTGCTGTGAAATTAACAAAAGAGAGGTAAATCTAAGAGCAGATCCAGAAAAAGGTTTTACCCATTGAATTCTGTAAAATTTAAAAACTATATGCCCAAAAAAATTCATTAACTGCAGTTTCAGAAAAATTTTATCGTTTTGTAAAACATAGGAAAATATAAATTAATGAATTGATTTGATCATTAAATCAATAATATGTCGATAAGCATATTTAATTTTGTCATTAAATTAAATAATCTTAATAAATTAAATCAACTTGCAAAATAAATAAATTAATGAACCAGCGTAACGGTGCATCAACGTAACGTGAATTAATTTTGATGGTGAGATGATTGATTAATTCGTGAGCGTTGGGTCATTATATTATATTTGTGCTAACAAATCATATTCACAGTAACATACAAATTTAACACATACACGAGTGGTGATTACAATGAAACCTTGCGTGAAAGTAATTAAGTCTTCGTATCGTCTCTAATTTATTTATGAAAACTTGCTAGATCCGCCCTCGAATGCATTATCTCAGAAATAGTGCTCAGAAAAACCATATCACGGTACATACTCAATATTGCTATGCGACACTGTCGAAGTAACGCTACATGACACGTTATATAGGAGCTGGCTAAAGAGACAGTTTAATATCCATCCCTTTACACTCGTTCGCAAATTTTAAGCATTTATTTCTTTTTTATCAAAAAAGTTTTCTTTAAATATCTTTTTTAATCAAAATTCTAAAAGTATTTTGAAAAGTAAAAGTAATTTTTTTAATTAAGATAGCAGACAACATTTTTCTATCATATATCGAGAAATAATATATTCATAAGATACTAAGCTACGTATACATATATGTATATTCTGAATTTAAATTGTATAAAATTTAAGCTTAAATTTTCTAAAGAGAATAAATATATGCTAATACACAATGTAGAATAATAACACATAGAAATTCTGTAATGTCTCATTTGAATAAAGATAATAAAATGATAACGAAATCGCGATTAAAAGATTTTTGAGTGCAAAGAGATAGATACATTGCTAAGACTTGTAGAGATTTTGCATTAAGCATGGCTAAATTTATTTTCCCGACAAGCCTCGATTAATCATTTTCCAGGGAAACATTCGACGAGTGTTTGCGTTTGGCGTGGCATAGGCATCTTTTATTGTACAAACGGCCAAACATCATGAATAATTCTGATTTAAACTCAATAATTTCTCACACACGCGCACACATACAGATTACCGAAATTTATTACAATTAATTTTAATATAATTTATATTTACATATATATATAATCGATGTTAAATAATTTCTCCAAAATGTTAATTTAAGTAATAATGATCTCAATTTAAAAATCTAATTCAGTTTTAAATTCTTAATAATTAAAATCAGAATTTAATTGTACGTAAATTAGATATAAATTGAACTTTTCGACATTTTCCGACGGTTTATACTTATGCTACTAAAATAAATACTATTTTATTTATCGTAATTCTAAGGAATAATAATTTATGTCTTGTAGAATTGTCTCCAATATGGGAATATGTGTAGTTCAATATTCAAAGTATTTAGAGAACAATAAAAAAAGATCATGAGTGAATTTGGTCGTTTGTGTACACTTGCGTATTCTCCATCGGCCTGCAGACTTGAATCTCATTATCAAGTAGAGTTCGCGCTTATTATCAAGAGATATTGAAAAAACGTCTATAAAGATTCGTAATACGTGGTACACATTAGAAATATCCTCGAACGAACAACATCTCGCCGATAACCGCGTGCTATCTTTAAGAAATCCACGAACTCATCGTAATTAGCTTAATAGCGACTTAATTAATTCCACCGAGAATGATTACTTTCAGTCGTGCTTTTCTCTCTTCTTTCTTTAAGTACACAAATACAACTATTCTTTTGCAAGCTTCGGTGTTTTGTGCGCATGTTCGGTTACATACAAGATCTCTGAAAGAAGAGATACGCTGTGTGCTTAAACTTGGAAAGATGTAGCAGTGATCTCCACTAATCGCAGCCCGAACGACAAATAAGCTACTTTCCTACGAGAATCCTTATTCGATTAATGCTGATCTTTAACGAAGCTGCCATTGAAAACTTTTATAAGTTTGGAAAATACCACTTCGCGATGTTGCAAGATTTGCTGTTGCGAGAAAAGCAATTGATTCCCCTGATCACTTTAACACTCATATTATTTTTATCTTAGAATGCAATTTAAACCAGAAATCATATTTTATAAAAGTTACGTTAACTAGCAATAAAATGTTATCAGTTAAAATATAATTTTTTGCTTCACAATACAATTAATGTAAAATCCGAAATTAAATCGTCGCTGTAGATAAAGAATCGATCATGAAGATTAGAAAACGTTTTGTATGGTGATATGTAAAAGTTTGAGAAGCCAAGAAATATTGCTCGGGAACAATCTTAGTAGCTATCAAGAAATGCTACTATAAAAATTTATCCTTTCAATATTTCACGTCTAATTTATTATACCTTCAAAATTACTAAAATTTTTGCACTACTAATATTCAATCTTTATATTATAGCAAAATCCATTATAATTTCAATATAAATGTGTACAGTATACAATCGCTAAATTATTAAATACAAAAAGCCGCACAATTTATAAATTTAGAATAATATTATCAGTTAATAATAATTTTAAAATTACAACTGTTTGATTTTAATGCAAATCTCTTTAAGAACATCTCTAATTGGAATTAATTTAACCCTGAAGAGAAGGTAAAAAGACAGAGGGATTTCGTGTGGGTTTCGCAGCTATCATCGTTTCAAGCTTAAACATGGAAATGTCTTGATAAAGGGCACGATCTTCTTCTCGCACAAAGCCGGCCCAAAAAAACAACGCAAGTAGCTAGTATTAGATATCGCTCGAGTTCGTCTAGTAGCACTTGAAACGATAGTTAGAAGCCGCGATCGGCGATGAGGGGCCTCTGTTCCCTTAACGACGTGAGAAGCCAACGGCGTCTTGCAATGGTATGATGAGTCGTATCGGGAGATTGATTGCGATCGCTCCGCTCTTTTCGCTTTCGTTTCGGATGTAGACACTGTACCCTCCCTAGCAGATGCAGCCACTCTCGCCCTCCGACTCGGAACCGTTCTGCATGGGCGATTGGTTCTGCAAGTCGACAGCTGCTTTTGTGTGTTAAGGCGTGTTGCATTTTCAACTTGCATTCCTATCAACTTTTAATCTCGCGATCTGACCTCGCTTTCCTTCCTCCTGCGGTGTCTCTCAAATTGTACACTCTTAAAAAACTAAATAATATATTAATCAATTTCCTTGCCAACGTCTCTCTGTTTCGTGCCGATAGAAGAGGTAAATGTGTGTTTCGAAAAGAAAGATGTCAATAAACTCATGCGATTTTTGCAATTTGGTAATGTTATTTGGCTCAGTAAATACATTATTGCATTTCGGTAAACATTTGATTGATAACTTTAAACCTAATTAATGCATGTTGATATTCCGATGAGATGCTACAATCGATTCTTACAAATCAGATTGAAGTATAATGCCACTCTTAATGATACTACGATAACGACAAAATGTTTAAATCAGTTTTCTAGTATTGACGAAATTTTTTAACATTTATCTATTGTACTAATGACTGATGTTATCAAATCAACGATTTTGTAATCAATTTCCTTTTAATTAATAATTCTTTATAAGATACAGAATATGTTTCATTTAATTACGCACAATATCACGAGTTAACTTTTTCTTATCAAAGCTAAGGTGACAATTCAGAAGCGTATAAAAGTCCAAAATGGGACGGAGAGTATCCTAAAACTACTGAGTTTTTTTCTTTTTGAAGCGCGGAATCTCGTACAGCAAGATACAATAAAACAGAATAAAAATAGATTAAAAAACAGAAGTTATAAATATAATAAATAAATAGAGTAAATGTAAAAAAATTAATTAAAAAATTAATTCTCACTGAATATTAAAATACAATTAATTATATGTATAAATATGTTACGTCTAATTATGTGAACTGAATATAAAGAATAAATATTTTGTTGTATCTCTTACTTAAAACTATCTATATTAATTATCAAGAATAGTCAAATTATTAATACAAAAAATCTGCCTTGTACGCGCGTGTGTGTGTGATGTGTGTATGATTTTGGTAACTTATCTCGCTAATTATGCTTGAAGTCTTCTTCAAGATTCCAATTTAAAAAAATATCGAAGAAAAAGAAGCAAGCCAAGCAAAATAAAAAGTTAAAAATTAAAAGAAAAATATAGTAAATTATGGGCTAGAAATCAACATAAAGAATTATAGTTTTGCCAAATTCTTCTTTCTTTATATCATCGGTAGTTCAAATTTTTTACATAAATTAGAACAGCACAATAATAGACAAGTAAGTCAACAAAAGAGATATTAAAACAGTCAGCTCACCGACAAGCAAAGATCTTTTCTTTATTCACAATTCATATTTCGCTTACTATATGCAAGTTTTGACAGAATATTTCCTTTCCATTATAAACTATACAATGCCAATTAAAAAAATCACGTATAAATAATATTTCCACAAAAAGGAATAGAATATTTTGATTCACCGAATATAAGTCCCGAACTATATAGGGTTTTTTTTTATTTGTGTTTATGTGCTCTTAAAATATTTGTAAAAAAGAGATAGCTGCTAATTAATTATCCACAAATTTCGTAGAAAAATTTCTTTTAAATATTTTTTTTTTTAGTCTTGTCTTATTCTTATTTTCGTCAATCAGTATCTACATATTTGGAATTTGCTCAGCAATAACATATTATGTTTCAGTTATATTTTTATCCTTACAGCGCATCAGATAAAGCGAGAAGTCTATGTATGATTATCCATCAGGACTTGATTTAGCATTGTTGAAAAATTTAGTTTTAATCATCTCAGCTATATTTACATATGTATTTACTCTACATTCGTAATTCCGAAATTAAGGCATTTTTTTGTTAAATGCTAAATGCAAATGCAGTTGCTTTTCATTTATTGCACATGCAACACTTAATATCTCATTTTTAGGAAATGTGATAAATAAGAACACGGAAAATGCGGTTTCTCGATCTCTTTTTCAGTGTGAATTTGAGCAACTATCAATGTATATTTAGTTATACGCGTAGAAAAATAATATACAATATTAAACGGTCAATATTAACAAGCGAAATAAGATTAGGTGAATTTTGGGACTTTAATAAACGTCGTATTAATTCTTTTAGCTGCAATTCTTAGATGGCGGAAAAATTTCGATAAAACCAAAAAGAAAAAAATTATGCCAAACAAATCATATTGCGAAAGGTGCCTCATATTTTTGATCAAGAACGTAATTCTCACATCAAAGCCGAAAAGGGATAATAATCCCTTTTCACGATCGGCTAATATACAAAAACACGTCATTGTGTAAAAGCAGTCTTAAGCTATGTGTGAAATTATATTTTTTCTCGTTTTAATAAGAATCGTTGCTGCTAAGTGCACGTGGCTTTCCAGAGGTATACCGATATATACCGCGGAGAGCACAGGCCAAATGTATCCTAACATTCTAAGTTATTAACTTACAAGTTAACTTAGCTCATAGCTCAGTGTCTTGTCTACCAACCAGGGCATCGAACGGAAACAGAAATATTATTTCCTCGAGTCACATCGAAGTAAATTAATAAATTAATATTGATGTTAATGTGTTAATAACAATATGCACTTCCTAAGAAAATTTATTCAAAAAAAGGTCGACTTTTCCGAAAAAGGAAAGCAAAATATTTTTGAGCAAATAATAATATATCGATATTAACTATTAATATGAATACTTTATTATTTACTTACAATGACTATCGAAAAAAATCGATCATTTTCTTAGGAATTTTCTTAGAAAATCAGTTTATACTTTTCGAAAAGGGTCCTCAAATCGCTCCAGAGCGGATCCTATTCAGAGCTTATCAGAGGGCCCTTTCGATTCGATTCGATTCGATACCCTGCTACCATACAGGCCGGCGACGAATTAGCATGCACAACTGCTCTCCGAAGCTTTCAGTTCGATTGGCGTGTCCTTGAGCACTACCTCTTGCACTACGGATTAAAGAATGTATTAAGGAAAACACAAAAGTATAACGTAAACAAATGGAAGATCCGATAGATCGCTAAATAAATTCCGTTCCGAAATCAAGAGCTAGAACAGAGCTAGAATCAGAACAGAGAGCGAATAGTGCTTTAAAAAAATGCAAAAAATGTTAAAAAATTAGAAAGTGTTAATAAAGATTTTATATCTCTCTAAAAACAATATTAAATAAAATAAGTCAAAGTATATAATTATGATAATTTTATGTCCAATATTCTGAAAAGAATACTGATAATTATAATATCAATCAATTATTCAAATAAGAATTTGAGTGATGGTAAACGACGATCGACGAAGAAATAATGAATATAAGACGACGAGCAGTCGACAATAATGTAACGCGAAATGTTTGTAATAATGGATAAGATAGGAATTATATACACGTGAAATGAGAGAAGTCACCGCGAACATCCTGAAAATGTGCCATGCAAATTGCGTGCAATAAGTATCTTACTCAAAGGATACTGTCTTCGGGTGGCTTATTTTCGGTGGAGTCCATACCCGGCAAAGCCGCTGCTACTCTTCTAAATAGCTAAAATTACAATGTTTTTATATATTTTAATCTTACAAACATATGTTGATAGTTTTAATTTTTGTTTGAAAATAGCAATTTTAAATGTCTCTTTAATTATATTTTTAGTTTTTGAAATAGTTAAATTAAAAATTTATATGATTGATTACTTGAATAATTTTATGATTCTACTTGTTTTCACTTAGAAAAATCTCTCTATATGTCACATACGTAAGAAAGCGAAATAATTACTTGTTTAACATTGTAGCCGGCCTTAGCACTAGTTTCGATAAACATCACATTGAGTTCCTTCGCTTTTCGCTCGCCTTCTTCCGTCGAAACTTGCCTCTTATCACTCAAATCTGTTTTATTGCCCACTAGCATAATTATCACATCACTTCCTCTTTCAGTCCGCACATCGTCTATCCACTTTGATGTTTGGTGAAACGAGTTGGCGTCTGACAAATATGCAATCTTAATTTTATATTCATTTATTTATCGGGTGTATCAATAATAGTGTTTGCCAGTAACAGTCTTTTATTAATATAAACATTTTTTGTTCGTAATATGTTAGAATCTACACTATCTTACAAAAAATACGGAAAACACTTTTCGGATGCTGAAAATCGAACAATTTTCAAATCAGTGAAACTCAGCGAAAAATAATCGCGGACAAAAAATTGAAAAAAAAACATGTTAAATCTTGAAGTTTGTACGTTCACGTACTTTAGACTGTTTCTTAAAAAGTTTTTATCTTTACGCTTCTAAGCCAAAAAAAGAACATATTGTTTTGTTCCCAAAATTACATACGTTTAATACTCTGCAGCTCGATAAAAAAGTTTTCTCATAAAATTGATGATAAGAGTAAAAAACTACAACATTTTACCTGTAAAACGCGTTTTTTTTTAATTTTGTTATAATTTTTTTTACCAAGGTACAGAGTGTGTTAAAGATACGTGTTCTTCTTTTAAGTTTAAAAGTAAAATAAAAATTAAAAATTTTTTAAAAACGGCCTAAAGCACGTGAAAGTTCAAGTTTCAAGCTTTAAAATGCTTTTTTAATTTTTTGTCTATGATGATTTTTCATTAAGTTACAGCGGTTTAAAAATTACTAAATTTTAAGCATCTGAACGTCTCGACACGCGGCAGAACAATGCGGCCGACAGGCTGAGTGCGCGCCATTTATACGGCATCGTGCGTATTAATGGCGCGCAGCCAATTGGCTCGTTGATCGCACTGCTCTGTCAAACACTTAAAATTTAGTACTTTTCATCAAACCGCTGTAACTTAGCAAAAAATCATCGTAGACAAAATTAGAAAAGCATTTTAAAGCTTGAAACTTGTATTTTCGTATACTTTAGGCCATTTTCTAAAAATTTTTTATCTTTGCATTTCTAAAGTCGAAAAAAGAACAAGTATCTTCTACATCCTGCAACTCAATAAAAAAAATTTTTCTTAAAAAATTTATGACAAGTGCCAAAAACTGCAACATTTTATTTACAGAACGTGTTTTTTTAAATTTTGCTACGATACTTTTTGGCCGAGTTACGCAACTTTAAAGCCAGCTCTACATTTTGTGAATAACAACGTTTAACATCGGCAGTGGCGTTAGCATAAAAAATACAGATTTAGCTTCAAAGTCGTGTAACTTGGCCAAAAAAATCGTATTAAAATTTTAAACAATGCGTTTAGCAGGTAAAATGTTGTAGTCTTTGGCAGTTGTCATAAATTTTGCAAAAAAATTTTGTTATCAAGTTGCAGTTGTTAAAAGAACGTAATATTAAAAAATAAAAATGTTTTTTTTTAGACATAAAAGTGTGAAAATAAAAAGTTTTCAAAAAACGGTCTAGTGTGTGAAAGTACAAACTTCAACCTTTGGAGTGTTTTTTCAATTTTTTATTTACGATGATTTTTCGCCGAATTTCAGTAATTTAAAAGTTGTTCGATTTTGAGCATCAGAAAAGTGTTCTGTATTTTTCGTGAAGTGGTGTATATTACTAAAAATAATAAAACTTATTAAAACAAAAATTAAATATGTCACAAAGAGTTATTAGAAAAACCAAAGGAAGTATTGCGATATAAAAGTCTGCGTTTTTTTTCTGAGAGATTTAAAAAATTAAAAATTCAAATTAAGAACAACTGTTTTAATAAAATTATATAAAGTATATTTAGTAAATAAAAGAATATAATTAAAACTTGCTCAAGAAATATATCCCGTTTTCCAAATATAAGGCTACTGGCACACAGCTTTTTGATACACCGTATTTCTTATATATCCAGGTGCTTACTGGTAATATCGTAAACAACGACCGCAACTGTCGAATCTCTGATGTAACTAGGTATCAAAGAACGGAATCGTTCTTGCCCCGCTGTGTCCCATAGCTGTAATCTCACAGTTCTGTCTTCGAGATACATAGTTTTGCTTAAAAAGTCTATACCTATCGTAGCCTGCAACATATCAGTGCATTACAATATTAAAAGTCATTCAATGAATGCGTTATCGTTATGCGTTATTTTAAGCGTTATTTGAAACTTATTTTTTAAATAAAAAAAAAAAGAAATTACATTCAACTTAAAAAAGTTAAAAGGATAATACGAACTAACTGAAATAAAATGCACTAATATGTCAAATAAATATGTATAATAATTAGTATAAAAAATGTGAGATATTTAAATGTTAAAATATTTAATTATACTAAAGTATCATTTTTTAAAATAAAAATTCTATAAAATAAAATATTATAAACGTATATAAGTAACGAGGCAGGAGAGTTATCGGTGTTCTGTAAATTTTTTTTTGTCGATTAGAAAAAGTCGATATCTTGAGTCCCTACTGCCTCTCCTGCTAGCATTAGGTCTATTCGTTCTGACTGCACTTTCTTATACTCTTTCTATATTTGGAATATATATATTTTTCTTGATATTTTATTTCCAGAACGTTCTGATTCTTAGAAATAGATAACAAGCTTATAAAATTGTTTAATCTTATCTTTTGTAAAAACAATTGTGTTAAAAATTTACATAATTTTTTGATTACTATTTAACTGTAATATCGCGTTTTGTTCAGTCTGACATCGATTGTTAATCGCCAAACCAATAAAAACAATTTAATTATATAGATAAAACAAGTAAAAGAGAAGAAATTAAAGAAATTGATGTAAATCTAAAGCATGTAACAAATAATTCATCAATTTAACACATGCAACAGTAACTAATCAATTAATACTCAGCAATTAATAACTAATAAACGAATAAATTACGCACCTGGTATGTATTGTCAAAGCTGTCATACATAAACCGTGTAATAAGTGACGTCTTCCCAACTGCAATATAAAATTACATTGCTCATTTATTTTAATTATTTGTATTTCTATAAACAATTTCTATGCGTCTGCCTAGTTGTTTGCCCCCCACATTATGCAAATTTAATTAAAAAATTATATAATGCGATATTTATTAAATCTATGAATATTATTATACGATATTTACTAAATCCATAAAAAAACAATTACAAATTACGTCTACAAATTACAATTACGTCTAAAATTACAAAATTTAATTCTTGAATTATAAATTAACATGTTAATAAAATTAATGCCTGAATTCAACTTCCTCATTGCTAATATTACGATAGAAAAAGGGGCCGTATTTCTAGGAACATCTGAACGAAATAAATATTCGCCGTTAGCTATGCATTTAACACTAAACGTGGCTACCGGAGTGTTATTCAGCAAAAAGCCACGATCACAAGATTAGCGCGTTTGAGCGCTACACGCGCGGCCGGAACATAGTGAATATAGTAGTGAACACAGCGACGCGGTGGGGAATATTGATCTATAACCTAGAAGGGTACTAGGCGACGTCGAGAAAGGTCGTCACCCCGGACGTCTGCTAGCCGAAGGACCGGACTTCGAAGCAGCGCGCACGAAGGAAATCGATCCGTTTTCGTGGAACGTCGACGCACTCGTTGAATACACTTTATCGAGAACACTCACCGCTCTGCTCGCCGAGAAAGACGAGTTTAAACTTCCGCAACGGGTTGCCGAAATCGCCCGAGGACGACATGTTTTTCTCGCGTACTTATACGAATTATTGACAGAGCTAAAACCGGCGGTCTACGTTAACAGCGGTAACTTGATTAACGCGTGTTCAACAGTCGCTCCACCGAGTCATTTAAACGATCAGCTGCTACGGTCAACTGAAGCCTCCGCTAGCACTCTCGGATTATTCAGGGCCGACAGCTTGACAGCTCACGACGCTCGCTTGAATGCCACTCCTTTGACGCGAAGCGGCCACGTTTAACGGGGAAGTGACGTCGCGAAGTCGGGAAAACGAAGTCGCAGGCGGCGCTACCGATTTCCGAGCGGGACGAGCAGGCTGGAGCAGACTCACTGAGGCTCACAGTTAAGTGTCTGATGCTAACTAAACATTCCCATGCGCAGTGGACAACCAATCAAAAATGTTCAATGTTACTAGTGTTATAAGAATATGAATTTATAATACAATTAGACCGTGTGCTTCAGTAATAAATCTTGGAAAAAATGTCGATGTTGCGATAAATCTATTTTTATAGTCCACGTGAAATGATACTATTGAATCATATGGAATGGAATTTAAACAAACGAGGCACGTACTATTGTTTTATCGCGGCCGAAATTCTATTGTTTAAACATAATATAATGAGAAACGCATCTGCATATATAAAGTGACCAGAAAATACTGATAGAATGAAAGAGAAAGAGAGAGAGCAAAAATAAAGAGAGAGAGTGAGAGAAAGTTCAGATGGCGACACTGATATACTCATTTACTTCACGTTTGCGCACTACATTTTGTTCTAGAAAAATTGACAAAATTGTGCTGCAGTATATACTGTGCTGTGGTTGTACCCGGTAGGTTAGAAATATATATAGTTTTTAACGCTTGTTGCTTCGGTTTTTATTAATAGGTTTATAAATTATTCTGAAATATACTTGCAAATAAATTTATACATTTTTTGTATTTTTACAAATTATTACTTCAATTATTACCATATCCGGTGGATTAATCTTATATTTTAATTTTGCACCCTAATTTAAGATCAATTTTTGATTGAATTAACATTATTCTGTAAAAATAGGCAATTTTTGGACGACTTTTTAAATTAGAACCTTTATATATGTCAAAGTGATATTCTGCGACAAGTCCTGCGATTGCTATCTCAGCAGAAGCTCTAAATTCTTATTTGCATTTCCTCTCAATAATGATATTAATTAGATTATTATTAGATTATAGAAGATCATAAACTAAATATATTTTGTCATCTCATAACAAAAGCCGAATTATTATTTATCTTATGACTAAATTAACGAGGTAATTCACAGTGGAACAAAACTCTAATCTAATCCTAAATCTAAAAAATATCCTAAGAATAAAATCTAACATATTAACTATTATTCAAAAGAAAGACCATACACACAAAATTTACAGAAGTTTTTCCAATATGTATAATTCAATTCTGAATCAATAAGGAAAATTGCAGAAATTACTTCTGCTGCAGTAATATTACTTTTTTTACATTTTTGTCATATACTCGAATAAAAGCACGCACACAAAAAGCATAAACAGCCGTTATATACACATCACAGAATTGCATGCAGCATAGTCTCTTGGACGAAACTATTGCTGATGTATTCGATTGTTGTTCGTATTTCTATATGGATCCTCTATGACAATAGAATTGCAGATTAGATCGTAGCCGGTTCTGTTGAATCTGAAGAAGAACAGTGAGAAACAAACTGGGAATAGAAACGCAAGCACGAAGTTCTTCGCCACTGATCGGCCTAACGCCAATGGCAAACCCAGATCAGTCCCAGGGCTTACTAAGACTAAATTTGGTTCGTTCGGACGTTGCACAGGAGTTATACTTTGACACTGAACCACTCGCAAGCCCATTATGTACTTGCCAGGAGTGGCGCCTCCGATGTATCCATAAACACCGTGTTGAAGCCAAAAGGCCTGAAATGTTTTAAGAAAAAAAAATATCATGAAGTGATTATTTTTGCAAAAAGCTTGAGATATCTATTTAAAAAGTACAAACCTCGAAAATGCAAACTATTACACGATGAATTATTTCCAAGATTAAAATTCCATAAGTCATCTCTAGAGCCATCTTATAATCAATACGCAAATTTGTTTGCAATAGATCTAAATCTTCGAGGTCTCTGAAAAAGTACAAATCATTATGAAAGATTGCATCGAGGTACTATAGAATAAAACATATAAAAAAAATAAATAATCTTTAAATTAAAAAAAATATTTTTAAAAAAAGGTAGAAAATGCAATGAAAAGAACATACATAAAGTCGAAAACATCGATCGCGATAAAGGTAATGGAGAACTTCAAGAGAAACAGCATCGTCGAATCTATTACTTCTGCGACAAATCTTTTCCAAATCGAAGGAATACGATATTCGTAACCTAAAATAGATGAATTTAAAAAGGACCATTTTTATATACAATACTCTGTTATCTTTATTTAAATAAAGTTAAAAGATTCAATTTCTAACCGTCAGTTCCTGGAGGTTGATAGGGTCCTGTGGGTTGTTCCTGGAGCCTCCTTTGCCTTCCCGAATCGTTTTGTCTGTCTACATTTTCAATTACTACTCCTTGTCTATTCAGCACAGTTGGTGTTTCACTTGGTTGGAAAGATGTTGAAGCTGAAATAATGTCTTCCATTAAAAGGCAGTCTAATCTTCGAATTAGAACTACGTATTAATATAAAAATCATAACATATCTTAATAAATTGAAAAAAGTTACGAATAGATTTCACAAATTGTTCTCATAAAGAAAAATTTAATTTTTCGTACTTTGTTTATATTATTATATAAAAATATTGTAAATTTTATTGTATTTAGTTTGCATTTATTTATTTATCTTTATTTTGTACATTTATTTCTATAATATCATGCTTGTTAAATTCTGTTTTAATTTTATGTAAAACATAAAATTAATAAAATTGTATGATTTTTAAATAGAAACAATAATTTTTAATTTCCGAGAGTTTATCTTTTAAAATGATTCGCGCTCGTCATACCGGGTGTCGTTGAATTTGCAATGTGACCCGACATCACATAATAAGGAAACATCGCCGCAACACTTTGCCAAGCATACGCCTCGCGAAGCCATTCCTCTAGCTTTTTAAAATATTGTGATCTTTCTTCCGCCGGATTTAATTTATTTTCCGAAATCTCCTCCGATATACTATCGTTGTTGTCGTCTGCCATTTTGAGTTCTTGTCGTACCTGCAAAAAAAACAAATTAGTTTGAGAATTATTTAAGTCCTCATAGTTGTCGATGTCATTTACTGTTCCGAATTTCTCGCCTCTTTCATTTAATGCAATGACAAGATGTAACAATTGTCGTATAGCGATTGTCACAATTATCACTTTACCGATTTAGCTTTTACTGATTGTGAGATCAGTTGACAAACATGACTGTGAGATGTGCCGAAAGAGAATAAATAACTACACTGCTAACATCACTTAACGAGAATGAGAGTAAACTACTTTCAATACCTCTGTCGTAATCAGTCACTGCGCATTTACGCCCGTAATACATAAACGTGCTAACTATCGCCCATCACTGACGTGTATCAAATCAAATGGATACAATGTGTCGCTCGTGACGCTTTTCGCAGTAGAGAAGATAACCCAACAAATTTTCCTCAGCGACAGCTGCTGATTTTCCCCTAGGCTTTAATTGTAGGAGAAAATTGTGAGTTTATACCTAAAACATCCCTTTGATCTAGAAACATCAAAATATCATAAGAATTTAATTTATTTTTAGTTGTACATTTTTAAAAGATTATTTTTATTTTTTATAATGTTAATTATAAAATGGTAATCTACAATTTTTCTCAAATTACGGCAAATCTAATGAAATAAAAAATTTTAAAATATTGTAAAAATATAAAAGCAAAAAAAACAAATTGTGCTAGAGATTTTCTTTGCCTCTAGTGTCCTCGCAAATATAACATACCTGCTTATAGTTCAGGTAGAGGTTTAGGATAAACGGTTATTTTTATTTGTGTGCTTCCTACGAATTTTTATCATGTCCATTATCCATTTATTTTAATGAATTATATAATTACGGTTGCTCCAAACTTACTCATTTCTTATTTCTTCTTCAGTATCTTCTTCGGTGTCTTGCGTGCTATACAATCGACGCTAAGAGCTCAAGAAAAGTGGGGAATTTATTTTGGATTCCATTTGTGACTAGCTGGTGTTGGTGAGTAGAAGGCGCTGCTGCACGCACGACGTGCTCGCAGCTCCAGTTCAGTCATCACGATAGGCTGTAGTACGCGTTTCCGATTAATGAATAGACGGCCAACAGGCATCATCTTCGTGCACGAGATTTACCGAGATAAATAACGCCGTGGTGGCCGCCGTTCATAACACGCCGCGAGTATCAGCGGCGAGTTGTAGGGGTGGTCGCGTGGGTGCGTCGCGCCGTCGCGACGCGTCGCGCCGCGACGACAGTGACAGTTCCGGAGCACCTGAAGAGGGTGTGGGCTCGCGACGCGGACGAGAGCGAACCTTAGGTAAGGTCAAACGACGGACCGACTTGCCGAAAGGCATTTTATGAGATTTTCCACCCCCTTCGCAATTTTCATAAGACACGATTTTCCGCTGTACCGGGATCAATCGCTTCTACGCCGCAATCGGCGCAGTATCATCCTCACGAAAACATATTTCCGCGTGCCAAAAATCATGGGAATCTGAATTCCATCTGAAATTTCACCGGTATGTACGTGGAGTCAATATCTTTGCTCGGAAAAATTTGCTCCGCGTCGATTTTCGGCGCGAAAAAGGAGATAGAAATGGGTCGGTCTCACTCTTCCTTTGAGTCATTCCAACGGAACGCCAGCCAGCCGGAATTCCGGGAATTCTAACTGACTTCATATCAAAGTAACTTATGTACAGAATGTATGTGTACGCTCGTAAACACGGTCAGTGGTTGACCCTAGAACGCTACCCTTTTTTCGTCTGCAACTACATATTTTTTGTTACGCATGTCGGAAAAAATTTTGAACAATAATTGCAAAGATATGTTACATTAATTAATTAATTATGATTTAAATGTTATAGATAAGCTGTGATCTTAAGAAATCATAATTTTGCATGAAAATTGATTTTTGGAGAACAAAAATATGATTAGAAATTTTAAACTTTGATTTGCAGCATATCTGCATAAACTTTATATGACAGGAATGTATTTATATAACACATTTCGGAAACACAGCGTTTTAAAATTAAAGCCCATTCAAACGGATTTACGCTTAATTGTTCCAAGTACGACAGTGTTCGCTTTTATCTGATTGTGAGTGTAATCGTTTAATACTTTTGCATGCGTATATTTCACGAGGCTATAAAATAATCGTCTGATCGAGCCTTTATTGCGAAGCTGTTTGAACAGCATCCGGACCGGTAGCAATTGTTTATGGCATTAACCGTATATTACATGTCCGGTTAAGTATAATCAAACTCGTTGGCGTAGAGCGAAAGAAACTTTGTAGATTCACTCGAATGCATTTCGGCGATGGCACATCGAAGGATGCAATTGAATTCACAATTTTATTACATGCATTACACAGAAATTGATCGAAAATTAAAAGACTGTCTTAAATTTTGAAGTAAAATATTCTGTTTGCTCAATAATTTTCGAGCACCCTATATCCGCGGAATGGTCATGTGAAAAAGTCGAGAAGGAATTTCATCTGTCATCATAATAGACACATCATAATAGCAGAAGATTATTTAATATTACGACGATCCGTTACTGAAGGCGTCGCGCCTCATCATTTGCTTTTCGCTTTTGTCTAAGTGTTAATTACGTAACATTAATTGCAATAGTAGTTTAGATATTTTTTACACATTAACAGCATATATATTAAATATTATAATATATATGTATGTATATATAAAATTTTATTATTTTTATACACGCAAAATAAATTGTTACAAATTTTGTGCAAAATATTTCACGCGAATTACGAAGCGAATTTATAGCGTGCATTTATCCGAAGGTGATCATTTATAAAAGTCATCACAAGTGATGCGGCGCGATTATCGTTATCGCGATGAGAGTAAATTTTCTTTTTCGCGATAACGGGGTCCGGAATGTACGTATGTTTACTCTGTTATCGAGCGAGACATCATCAATGTTGCATCCACAATCGTACGGTTTCTAACTTGCGGTATCGAAAACTGAACATACGGTCGCAGGTCGCTTCGTCTATCGCCAATCGATACTTCCGCTTTTCGCCATGGCTTTTTCACGTGATGTTAATTACAAGCTGAACGGAAACTGCATCTATGCACCGGTGCGTATCTTTTTGCAGAATCGCTATCGAAACGCGGTTATCATAAAAGGATTGGTGACAGATGTGTCGCGATAAGCCCTCTTTATTTTTCGGAGGAATGTGAAGAACGCGACGAATACATTTTTGGAAATTTAATCTTTCGTTTAATATCTTTCGAATTTAACGTTTTTCATAATCTTCTGTCTCAAAGATGATGAATGACGATTTTTGATAAACGATAATGGGAATTGAATGTCATTATGCATTATTAATTTGATATGTAATTTACTTCAAAACAATTCTGAAGAAAGAGTTCTCAGAAGATCATAATTGTGTAGAACTTTAGATTATCGCTACGTCGCTATAAATAAAACATCAAAATTGCGAAACAGTTTTATATTTTTTAAATTAAATAGTTTTATATTTTTTTAAGTTATCAGTTTTGTACATCTGCATATATATATATTCGTATACGTTTTGTATTTTTTTAATCTGGAACACTATTTCATATTTTTTTAATTAAAAACGAAGGGAGAGGTCGTAACACATTTACAGCGGTGACAAATATAATACATTCAGTGATGTAGTAACCAAATATAAACACGAATCGCGCTTTTCTTTTTGCCATTCTCATCATCATCGCATCCTGCATCACAGCGTCCTTGACGTTATCGATGATCAATAGGCGAATTGCTAAAGACACAGCGACTAAATAAGGCAATTAGTGTGATTTGTGTGTGATATAAACATGACACGTGTCCACCCAACTGCTTATATTGCGGGATTTTATCTTTTCCAATAATATTTATTATTATTATTTTCCACTATAAATAAAACGAAATAATTCATTGCGTTGTAAATAAATATCGTTGGCCTACAGCTTTTTTACTGAATACTTAATTATTGCACAATTATTTCCACAAACATTCCTATAAAACTGTGCTATTGCGTTTAATAATAAACGCAGTGCTCTTTCAGACACAATTTATCACGTAATTTTTTCTTCGTCATTGAAAAACTATGCTATAAAGTGATCGAAGTTTAACGCACCAACTCTCGAATCGATATTCACATTCTGCAAAGTTGCGAAAGCCTTAACTTAATTCAACATAATTTAATCGCGCGAAATTACGCGCTAACTTCGTCAACTCGAATTTTCTGCATTATTGCTTTTCGCAATAAAATTCGGAAAAACTCAGGTCATTAAAACAAATCGCGAAACAGAACTAAATGTTTATCCAGCATTTAATAACAGAGAAATCTGAAAACTTTTTAAATTAACGTTATATATAGAATGTCGATTTTACATCAACGATGATCAGGAAATTTTCGGCATTTGATATTTTGTATGCGACGACTTAATTGAATTTCATTATTTCATTACATTCTAAATATAAAACATTTAATAAATGCACAGAATTTTAATTTTATTGATTATACGATTCTGATGAAACTCTATCAAGGAGACTTGAAATGGTAAAGTTATTCGAAAAGAGTATAATGCTTACCGGCCTTGACGCGACATTTGATAGCTGCCAATCACATACTTATATCCCGGATATAAGAGGTATATGCGAACTTTCAACGGTACGAGAATTGTTATTGACAAAGATTCAGTGATAGAGATGATCTAACTATCGGAGATAACTGCTGATAAACCTATCAGAAGACAGCTTTTTACTTTCAATAATATTTTTTTATTAAATCCTATTATTAATACAAAACATTTCAACGAATTAATTATTAAAATTATAGGATAATGAAGAATATTGTAACAGATTATCTAACAAATTAAGAAGATAAATATCACGATGCTAAAAAATATATTATAAATTAATTAATACATTTGATAAGCGCGAGACAAATTTGAGCTATCACTTTTCTATACGTAATATTTTTATGAATATTTTATCGCGCGTGCTGCGATTTGATGGATATAATACAAATCTTAAAATAACTCGACATGCACATTCTATTTCAGTGCTTATCATTTATCGTTATCTCATCAAAAGTTTGCGCGATATACTAAAAGCTCGTAATATGCATGGCTCATGTACAATATACACATTTCCGATAATAGCCAATAAATTATATAATATAATGACTCGTGCAACCGCCCCCTTGTGAAATTCCCTGTAGAATTTCCTATCGGCCAGAGAATTTCTTACGTCATCAGAAAATTTGAGAGGAATGCTCAAACATAAATATAAAAATACAACAGCAAAAATATCGAACTTTAAAATTAAAATGAAAAAATCGCTTGTTTTTGACAGACGAGATTTTTTTCAGAGCTATTGCCTTCTCTTCTTCTTCTCCTCTTTCTCTTTCTTTCCTCTCTCTACCTCTCTTGTTGAATAATTTGTGCTTGGGCATAAATAAAGTTATTTCCGGTAAGATCAACCTGTCAAATATACGAAAACCGAACGTTCGTACATGCTCAGCATGTTTAGAGCTCGAAATACCATCACACACTTTTTTTCCGACTATCGAAATCTCGACAGTGCTGAAATTAATTTTTTCTGCACAAACTCAGTTTTAAATCCTTTTTTTTCTTCACAATTTTATTGCATGTAAATCAGAGCCACCGTGTATGTAGAATAATGACGTCAAAGGCCATTGAGCAATGTGATTCCCGGCAGTTTCGCATCAGTTATAGAATCACTGTAATAGTTATGAGAACGCTAAACTAGAGGCAACTCTTATAGAATACAACGCCATTATCCGTTCTTCTCCTACGTTGTTATACGCCATCAAAGGCACAATCGCTGTTTTAAATTTGCGACGGAAGCTCGTTAAACAATATACTGGATTATCTGCGAGACAAAGAATGATGAAGTTATCTAAAACCGCCTGACAGTCTTCTACGCAGAAACTTTTTAATTTATTTTCATAGAAATCTTAAATCTAGTCTAATCTATTTAAAAGTCTTAAATTGAATCTAATCTGTCAATCTAACAATCTTAAATCGTTTAAATTCTTAAACTTTTTAAAATTTTACAATTTTTATTGTCGATTTAACCGAAATAAATTAAATTTATCCAGTAGTTTATATTTAGTGTGAGAGTATTTGGCTTCTCTCAGTAGTTTGATTTACAAAGAATCGCAATAGCGACCACAAATATATCTCTACACGCAGCGCCGAACTTTATTCCAGCCAGGCAGATAACATGCGAGTGACGTCAAATGAATCGTAAAACTAGCTTCCGTCCATTGACCTAGCATGCAAAATTTGTCCCAAATCATTCGAAAGACATCAGCGTCCGTCCGGAATCGCGAATGACTAACAAAGAAAAATATTAATGAAATAATAAATCGATTTTTTTGTTATTTTTGTTTAAAAAAAATAAAGAAGGTATTTAAATGTTTCCATTTTGTTTGTATAAATGTTTAAAAAACTTAGTTTAATTAACAGAATTTTATCTCATGTTTGTGCATTAAATAAGTAAAGTTTTTTAAAAAATGGGTAAAGTTTAGCTAAAAATTTACAACTCTAATCTCTGCTTTATATCTTTGCGATATTCAACTTTACAGACTCCCTGCTGATCACTGTGTTCAGATTGATAATAAAACATGTATTTTGGTACTCCGCGATAACATTTGGCACAATGACGTCAAGTGCGTACGTCAGTTCTCTATTCCTCTTTGTTGATTCATTACATCTACAGTAGACGATCTTGTATTCTCGTTGAATAATTCTTTTTATAAAGAATAAATAGAAGAATCTTTTTTTATATAGCTAGAAAATAAAAATAGAAACATACTTTTCTCACGAAAATTTACTATTTTCTTCTTTAACAAATTTAGTATTGATTTTCCCTCAAAGAAAATTTAATCAGCGATGTAATCACCAGACTGTTAATTTATAGTAAATTAAGAATTAAAAGTGTAAATTGGCAACGCAATTTTATATTTGAATTTGCACAAAGTAAACTTTTTTCTTTACAAAAATTTTATTTAATATTTCAATATTTCTCTCGGTTATATTTCTTTTTTTTTTAAACTTGTTACTTTCTAGAAATTGAAGAAAGTTGATATTTTTCTTTGACATATATACGAGAAAAACTTTAATTTAAAATATTTTTCAAAAGCTATGTTCCCAGAATTTCATTTAGAATTTGTGTGATACATGATATAAATCCATCTCGCGTTACATTTGTCATTTGGTATCCGTATATCTACAACCGATAGCGGCGTGCGACGTGTAAAACCCCGCGAGTACAAATTATTGTCCAGGCATTATCGTATTAAGAATTATATGAACGGCGATTGAAATTGACAACCATTTGTCGGAACAGTTCAGTATAAGCTCGGCGTTGTTCCGAAGAGCTCCGCCATCTTTCGTCACAATTGCGTTTCGACATAATTTTGATTTACGGTGCAAACTATTTATTATTTCGGTATAAAGTGCTAGCTTCTTAAAATACGGTGAAAAATAAGAAAATTGTTTTTGAAAATTTAGCTCATGTAAAGTCTTCAGCTGCGAAGTATTCGAAAAGTAAAATGCAAAGAGGTCCTTAATATGATATAATCAAATCGAATCGAATAATTCGAATTACTTTTAAATTGAATCAAATAATTTGAATTAATTAGATTAAACTCATGAATCAAATTTATGAGTGCTAGTGACATACTGCTCAGCAATTGATTAGTAACAATTAAAATAGAAGTGCTTGCCGTTATGAAAGAGCAAAGAAAAAATATAATAGAGGTAAAGTTAGAGAGACAAAAATTAAAGACGAAAAATTCGAAAATCTTATAATGCTGTAATGTAATATTGAAATTTCAAAATAATATTTTATCAATAAATTGTTTTGTCAATGAGTTATGAATGAATAACTTTTGTCAACAGTGGGAGAGCTCAGAGTCGGACTTCTCGGACACTGAGGACTCAAATGAGTTAGGGGCCAGTGCGGGCCCCGAGCTCTACGAGATGGACACTATAGATAGTGTCAATAAACGGCAAGCTACTCGTGTCTTCAAAAAGTCCAGTCTCAATGGCAAGATCACAGTCTATCTCGGCAAAAGAGACTTCGTCGATCACATCACGCACGTTGATCCTATTGGCAAGTATCGATCGATAATCAATCCGCATCAGATAGCCTTATCGACTAAAGTTTCTTAACTAATATCATCTTCTCCACATACATTTTAAGGAAAAGAACAAAATGACTTAAAAAATTGCAGATGGAGTTGTTTTGATCGATCCCGATTACATAAAGGATCGGAAAGTGTTCGGCCACGTTCTTGCGGCATTCAAGTACGGCAGGGAGGATCTGGACGTTCTCGGACTAACTTTTCGTAAAGATTTGTATTTGGCGGCAGAGCAGATTTATCCCGTAGTGCAGGGATCTCAACCCCCCAGAGAGCTGACGCGGTTACAGGAAAGGCTTATCAAGAAGCTTGGAAGCAATGCGCACCCTTTTTATTTTGAATTGCCACCCCACTGCCCCGCCTCGGTCACTCTACAACCGGCGCCGGGGGACACCGGAAAGCCCTGCGGTGTCGACTACGAATTGAAGGCATTTGTAGGCGAAACGGCAGACGACAAGCCGCACAAACGGTACAAGTCTTAATTTAAAAACTAAAAAAAAAAAGAGTTTCACTTAAAACCCGCTTCAGACAATCCGTAATTCACGACAGAATTCAAGATAGAAATCTATTTATAATTTTTTATAGTAGAACATATTCTAGATGTCGGGAAATGATGCAATTTACAGGAGTTGCGTGAGACTGGCGATCAGAAAGATCATGTACGCGCCGTCGAAACAGGGCGAGCAGCCCTCAGTGGAGGTCAGTAAAGAGTTCATGATGTCGCCGAACAAACTTCATCTGGAGGCTTCCCTCGACAAGGAACTCTACCATCATGGCGAGAACATAGCTGTGAACGTGCACATAGCAAACAATAGCAACCGGACTGTGAAAAAGATAAAAGTGTCGGTTAGGCAATTCGCAGACATCTGCCTATTCTCCACGGCGCAATACAAATGCACGGTCGCCGAGGCCGAGAGCGAGTGAGTATGCCCTATCTAATTATTCTCCACCCTTTTATCGTGGAACAATATTGCATTCCGATCGAAAGCGCGTTACAACAGAACGTAGAGTAGTTCGACGTAAAAAAAAGCGATTTCGACGATAAAACCAAACACGTCAAAATTCCAGAAGATTGAATCCTCATTATTTTAAACAGTCATCTTCGATTTTAAATGAAAGCTTATTTCATTCATAGATGAATGACAAGACGTCTTGAGGATCGTTTTGTTTGTCAAAATCGCTTTTTAACCGCTGTAAAGTCATTTATAAGTTGGAGATCAATTTCTTTTTAATTTAGTAAGCGTCATTACGATAGTTTAGCGTCATTAATAATTCACGATCCAAGTATCAGCGATTTAGAGGTGCCAAAAAAAAAGTCTTGACACTCAGATCAGAATGTTTGACGATCGTAATCGGGCTTCTGCTGCCCGACGTCCGCTATGACAAAGTTCTAGTAATTAAACGCGTAATAAGTAGGTCTGTGACGAGCAGGAAAATAAGATTATTGCACTGGCAGTATAGGGGTAACGCCAGGATTCACCCTGAGTAAGGTGTTCTCTCTAAGGCCGACGCTTGCCGAGAACAAAGACAAGCGGGGTCTTGCTCTAGACGGTCAGCTTAAACACGAGGACACCAATCTCGCGTCTAGCACAATGTGAGTGCGAGATTAAGAGCTCGCTGTATTCCTACATTACTCTTTCACCTCTCCTGCCGGGTACTTTGGAAGAAGGAAAATAAGATGTTAGAGGCTGGAAACCGGCCAAATGGCTCGTGTCGTTTCTCGTCATATTACAACGATATCTTACGACGAACGTCTAGACGTCTTTATGAGAACTTGTCACGCCACAAGTGCCAGAAAATTACGTATAGCAGCAACGTACTATTGCATCTTTTAGAATAATTTTATAAAATAGACTGAGAGAGAGAGAGAGAGAGAGAGAGGAAAATATCAGTTGCTACACAACTTACTTTAACGATATTAAAAAATCTTGAAGAAGTTAACTGAATTAAAGATCAAATCAAATTGTAACTAAAAATTATAAGCTAAATTAATCCTTCGCAGTTTTTCAGATCTAATAAATTTAAATAAAATTAGAAATTAAATAAAATTAAAAATTTTATTTTATTACCAGTTTTGTTATTCAAAAAGTTTATCAATTTTTTTTCATATTTTTTTAGGAAAATATATTAATAGATAAGCTTGTTTCCAGCCTTCTTTTTTGTTCTCTTCTTCCTCTTTTTAAAAATAATGAAAAATAGAATGGCAGTATTTTTTGGTGATTTTGTGCTGGGAATTTTTAACGCGGTGGCCTGTAATCTTGTATAGATTTTGATCGGTGGTGGTCTCATTTCCTCTGCAAAATTCCCTTTTTTTACACACATTCCCTTCTTTTCAATCCTTTTCGTTATATTAAAATATGTTTTATATAAATTATACTTTTTTTCTATTAAAACTTATTTTTTATTATATTACTTCACAAAAATAGAGAAAACACTTTTCAAAATTGAGCAATTTTTAAACTATTCGGCAAAAAACTTCAAAAATAGCCTAAAGCACGCGAGAGTTCAAGCTTTAAAATGCTTTTGGGATTTTTTCTCGATGATGATTTTTCGCCGAGTTACAGCGGTTTGAAAATTGATGGAATTTGGTGAAGCGTCTCGACGCGGCAGAACAATGTGGTCGACGGCACTGTGCGCGTATTAATGGCGCGCAGTCAGCCAGTTTCAGCCGCACTGCTCTGTCGCGCTTAAAATTCCGTAATTTTTAAAACGTTGTAACTCAGTAAAAAATTATCGTAGACAAAAAATTAAAAAAAGTATTCTAAAGCTTGAAACTTGTATTTTCGCGTGCTTTGGACCGTTTTTGAACATTTTTACCGAGTTTCAGTGGTTTAAAAATTGCTCGATTCGCAGCGTCTAAAAAGTGTTCTCTACTTTTTTTGTAATATATATTATAAATTCTTAAAATCAAAATAATTTTCTTTAATAATACACATATAAACGTAAACGTTTCTCCTTGTATCCTTCAGGCACTGAAGTACAGGATTGTTGAGTCCTCACTCGTTCTTTGTAATTGTAATTTGTATTGCAATGTGAATGCACACGCTGACATAGTGTATGTGTACTACAACAATATAATTAATTTTGTCTACATATTGTACTCATCGTCCTACTTTAATTTATCGTGAATTTCGACATAAAACCAGAACTATACAAACTGTTCTCATTGTCACAAGTAGAACGTCATAAAATTACAATTATTACTCAGTTCGTGCAAAATCGGCCAATTGCAAAATAAAAGCAAAATTCTCAAAGAGACATATTCAATCAAAATTTCTTGAGTTCCGATAAAATTCTGAGGAGATTCTCTGACTTCCTCGGAGCGGAAAAAAAAATTCTCCGAGAATATTAGGTTTTTTTCAGATTTCGCAGGTATACAATCTGCAGTGTGAAACATTTTAATAATATTGAAGATAAATATATATTTAAATATTTTGTCGGTAATCTATTTGCGTAGAGAGTGCGCGACTAAATCTCGCGTGATATTTCGATCCACATGTGGTAGCACATAGTAGCGCATTGACATTCATGCTGATTGTATGTTCAACTGTCAGGGAGGGATGCCCGGTGGGCCCGGGTTTCACGCTGAGCAAGGTGTTCATGTTGACACCCCTTCTGGCCGACAACAAAGATAAATGGGGGCTCGCCCTCGACGGCCAGCTCAAACACGAGGACACCAATTTGGCGTCCAGCACCCTGTAAGGACGCGATGCCTGAAATTGAGCCTGCGACACGCAGACACGCGCTTAGATGCCGATTTACCGCGCCGCGTTTTAGTCATGCATTTAGCGTGTTTTCAAAAACAATATTTTAAATATAAGAGTGCAGAAAAAGCAGATGTTTATGCAGACCAAAATTTTGACACAATTAATCGTAATTTAAAACATGACTAAATCAATGAGAAATATTTTTGTCAAGCAGATGAAGTGTAATGAGATATTTTCGGGAAGATTTAAATAACAAAATATTTAAATATACAATACGAATAGTTAAATGAGACGAATGTGTTTTGCGCTAAATGAGAATGCGAAAATGCGGGCGGTGTTTGTTACATATATACACATGTGTCGTTCACGCACGCAACGCGCAGCCGAACACGCCTTTGGGAATTTCGTTTTCATCTGCAACGCTTTCTACACGACGGCCGGAAAAGTACATGTTGGCTGCCTGCAACGAAGCTTTTCTCAACGATCGATTGATCGAGACGGCGAGCGACTGGCTCAATCATTTATCGAGCAACTGTGTAATTCTGTTTTGCGATATTCGCACTGAGATTCACTGGGAGTCGTCCTTTCGTGCGTCCTGAGTACCATAGATCCGTGTAATCTCGGCACTCCGAATTATGATCCAGCAATCATTTCGCAGTATTCTAAATCGTGACATCGATCCCGAAATTTAAATATTTTAAATCTCGTCTTTGTAACAAAGCAAATTTTTATTCCGTTAATTTCCATCTATTCCTAATAAAATTTCTTAAACATTTCACGAAACATATTCCAATATCATCGAAATAATTGAAAGATCTATGATCTAAGGGATTTAGGATGCAAGAGCAAAAGTGTAAATCAAAATCCTACTTTCCTTCTGCTTGTGCTTGTGAAAGCATGGCATCGCCACCGCATAATTGCATGGAAAGATAAAAGTTTTTTTATTTCCGCTGTAACACTGCATTTCTGTTGATTACAAAAAGAATGTGATCACTGCTTTAAATGTTCACACGAGTATCATTGAGTGTGTCACTGAATAATGCCGCTTTCCATCTCATTGCTAGTAAAGTAAGATTAGTTTGCAATTTTCTTTTTGTTGCTTTCCGACTCTGCATGATACTGTTACACAATTAATCCCGCATGATCTATTAATATTTATAAACCATAAAGTGCTGATAGTGATGAGAGATATATTTCGCAGTGTAGTCGATCCGTCTCAGCGTGAAAATCTCGGCATAATTGTTCAGTACAAAGTTAAAGTCAAACTTTGCCTCGGCGCTCTTGGAGGGTAAGTTCTAATACATATTTAAGTTTGTTGGAAACCTAAATTCAAGCACACACAAATCGAAAGGCTTGTGTAAATTCAAAAAATGTACAACATTGGAATTATAAGTTTATCGACATGATTTAAGCATGTTATAATTTTAAGATCTTCTACAATTTGCAGAATTTTTAAAATTACGAATCCTAAGTTTAAGGATGCAGTTATGGATTTAATACGAAGGTGAGTCAAAAATTTTTTCGCAAAGTCGTTATTAAAAAAATAAGTATTTATTACTAAAATTTAAACAATAGTTTATTTTTCTAGCTAAATTCCATCACAGTTTTTCGATTCTTCAAGAATCTTTTGATCGGAGAATTATTTTATTATAAATTGCAGCTTTAAACTCCCGTCATTATTATAGGAAAACATCTCAGCATACTGTCTAAATATATCGTCAACAAATTATCAATTAAAAGATGACTTGAGAAGAACTGGATTATTGGAAGATTGTAATAAGATTGCAACAAGACGCTTTTCTAATAACAATTAACTGCGGTATAACGCACTGGTTGTTTAACAAAAAAGTTATTTTCAAAAACCAGAGAGTTGAAAAAAGTTGAAAAACATGATAATTAATGAAAAAATAAACTATTTAAATTTTTATAATAAATATTTGTTTTTTTTTCGTTTTTTTAATGACGACTTCACGAAAAATTTTTGATTTGGCATCGTATTATTCTTATGTTATTATTTATATTGTTTTATGTTTATATATATACCATTATCGTTCTGGCTATAACAGTGAATTAGTCGCGGAACTGCCCTTCATTCTGATGCACCCCAAGCCTGAAGAAGAGGAACCAATACCATCCACAGCTCGACCAAGCCCCACGCACAAAACTGATGGTGGGGAAGTTCCTCTCGATACAAACCTTATTCAATTAGATACGTAAGTAACTGAAATATTGATTTGGACATAATTCTCAAATAGAATGTCTGAAGTAAAACATCACTACAGATATCTAATTCATTTATTAATTTGATTGATAATAGTAATTCTTTGTGAATATAATTTCCGAATCAAAATTTTTGACAATTAAATGATTCCGCTCGTCTTTCAATTATTTTCTGTCTACTTTTATAGGGAAGCGGACGGCGACGACGATATAATCTTCGAGGACTTCGCTCGTTTGAGGCTGAAAGGCGAGACAGAAGCTTGACCGTGCTCCGCCAATTCCTTGATACATTTTGATGCATTCGATAACGTGACTCGGACGCCATTATGTCGCACGCAAGATGGAAACTATACGACGTCGTCAGTAATGTCTATGACAGCGATGTCGCAACAACAAACTTAAATAACATTGTTTACTAAGTTTATTATTGCGATATCACTGCTACTTTTAAGCACAAAATGTCATTGATAACGGTGTTGCACCGTTTCGTGACAGTTTAACGTTTACCGTAAAAAAAAAGCTGATTGACTATATTAATAGAAAAAAAATTTTTAAAGAGAAGAAAGAAATGATATAAGAGGAAAGAAAGAAAAATTTTTATAAATCGGAAACGCTGCCGAGAAAATCATTCAAGAGTCATTACTTTTACTGATTACTAAAGATGATGAAAATTCTATCGAAAATTCTTAGGACTCTTCTTGTCTTTTTCTTCTTTTCATTATGAAAGAAAACTTTACACATTATTTATCAAACAATTATTAACATAATTAAGCAATAATTAATTTAATCATCATTTTTCTGTGTTCATCATTTACTTGTGATGATTTATTCTTGTGAGAAAAGTGTTGCAAATTGTATAATTAATACTACGAAATTCTTCACTAATATTGGCATCATTTTACGCTTTGGCTGTGAAGACTAAATTTGAGAAAAAATTCAAGAATCTATAGCCAATGACGTATTTATTTTAAATCGTAAGAATGAGAGAAGCTGCTACAAATGATAAAATTTTCCAGTCTTCTCCTTAAAAAATATTGCAATTTATTTGTCATTAACTAATTATCATTAACTAATTAATTTGTTGATATAATTATAGATTACGAGTTAATTATCAACAAATTTGCAGTTAATTGATTAAATTGATCGCAGTTAATTGATTACAAATTTTGGTCAATTGTAATCCGTATTCCGACTGCACATTTAATGCTAATTTCTTAGACTTCATAATTTTATATGAAACTTTCCTATAAAACAAATGAAACTTAGAATCAGGCAACACATTTAAACGTGCGATGGGAATATGACTCTTCAGATCTACAAGCAATTGCTTTTAATGATCGCGATTTTTTAAACACGGCCAGTACATTGTCTTTAAGTTACTTTAGCACAAAAGATAAGCGTTTGTAAATTTCAGATAATTAATTTTACTTTATCATTACAATAAATACGTACATTAATGCACATTGCAATTATTGTTTGTACAAAAAAAAGATGGGACAATGGTAAACGGTTTTTTTTTTATATAAATTTTGATAAATTTATATCTAATTATAATTAATACGAATAAAAACAATTATTCGCAAAATTGGGATAAAAAAACAATTTTTTTTTAAATTTTTTAAAAATCTTTTTGGGATAGGAAATTACAATAATGAAAAAGTATACCACAAGTCTATAATGATCACGTCTTTAGAAAGCCCATTTAGAAGTGTTTCATGCAATAATTCAGTCACACACTTGACAAAACGCGAAGAAATGCACCAGAAAGAAAGAAAAAAGGCGTTTCGAGATGCAGATGTCAATTCGTAGATGTATTTATGAATAATTTGTAGGACTTACCGTAACGTTGTAAGATTTGTAACATTAATCCGTTCGCACATCTCCCTTCCTCCAATTTTACAATTAACCCGATCAATTAAATTAAGATGAGCACTGTCCAATCGTAAGTATCGACTTCGATTAGTATGCGTTTTTAAGACTGCTCGAAAATTCGATTTCCGCGCATTGCCATAGAATGTCGCATAACGTCTCAACTCACTGTCCTATTTAAAGTAAATCGTTTAGCAATTTGATATCAATTGCCTAATTAAATCTCGGAACACACAGAAAACTTTTGCTATAAAAATTGAAAAGGACGAGATTTGTTATTAATTTTTAATTCTAAAGAAAGTCAAGTCAACGATGAATAGTCCACGTTGGCAACGAAGATTAATTAATGGCGACATTAATTAAAAAGTTATACGAATTATAGAGCCACGACAAAACTAAGCAGCATTGAATGCAATTATAAGCAACATTGTATGCGTGTGTGTATGTGCGCACCTGTGCGTACGCGCCCACACACACACGGTAAGCAAGCAAGAAAAAAAAAGAATATTTTTTATCACGTTAGCAGTTATAAATTGCATTTAGACAAGATAATCAAGCGTGTGGTCCGCATTTTTTCGTCACGCGCTTAATGTTAAATCAGTGGCGAGAATGCTGCGGTATTTTCTCATACCAAAGGCAATATTTTTGTTTTCTGAAAAATAATGCTTCTCAAAAAAGATATTAATAGAAAATTGCGAGGGTAAATTATATTCAAAGGAACTTGCAAATAGATACAACATTCGAATACATTTGATTTGCTATTGATTTAACAAATGATTGAAACATATATTGCATTTAAAATTTTTGTGTTGGATTATATTGATAGATAGCCTATATATATATATATACTAAAAATCTTTAAGTTAATTAAGTATAGTTAATTTTATTCTATATATCTAATTTTATTCTGCATTCACGTTTATAATTACTAATTTATTAAATATCCAACAGGCAAATTGCTTTGAAAGTCCCTCCACTTTTTCAACTTGCTCTCGTGAATAAAATAGGAACGTACATGTTCAACGAATGTAGCTATTTAATTAAGGACAAACTTTCGCGATCAAACGTCGATTCTTCGATTGTTGTTTTAAACATAAACGATGTGTATGAGTGTGTATATGTGCAGGCTTATATAATGAGAGTATATTTTATATCCGCCCGCGGACGCGCGCATATTTTTTATATGATCGCAAACGATAGATCGTTAACGTTTTTATTATCATCCGGATAGAATGAGAATCGCAGAAGAGGATTATATCGCACAAAACTGAGAGGAATAATTAAAGTCAATAAAAGGGTGCCGTCTCTGTAATTCTAATGTTCGAGATTGTTTTTTCGGCGTAAACCGTGTCGCGTGCAGAGTGTCGCACAAAGATGAGAATCTTGTTGATTCATGACGCAATTCCATTCAATCATTTTCCGACGGGTTTTTTGAGACACTCTGTATTCGAGGCATCACGGTATCGCCGCGATAAGGAAGACAATTACGCTTCTTCAATACGATATACTTTGCAAGCTTACATGTCTCTCACTTCTTTCGTTTCATTGCAAATTTCGTCTTATTCTTTGTGTGCAACTAAGAAGCCATTGTGATTAAGCATATCGCGAAGCGCATATACTGACATCAGAATGGTTGCATCGTTCGACATAGAATGGAAATAATTAATTAATTGCATCGCGCATAATAGTAAATAACACAAGTTGGAAGAAGAGAGAAAATAAGAAAAGAAGAAAAAAAAAAAGAATCAAAGCAGGAAGGAAAGATTATGCGCTCGTCTTGAAAGTGTATTTGTAATTAATGTAATCGAGTTGATGTACAAGTGTTGTGGTTCTCACTTACAGCTGTTACACGTGTAAATCGTAAGAGACGAGAGAGGGCCATCATTGCTAACTTGTACATTGCACTAGGAACCATTAATTTATTAAAACCTTGCAAATTGCGCATTGTTAGTTAGCAGCAAAGTTGTGTGTCGTTCATAATCGTTCGTTGTTCATTCGTAAACAATCCGTTTTGTATGTAAAAGAGATTACAAGAGAATTAATGAGAGACACAGAGAGAAAAAGGAGGAGGGAGAGAAAGGGAGAGAGAGAGAGAGAGAGAGAGAAAGAGAGAGAGAGTGAATGAAAGAGCGAGAGAATGTAAGAGTGTATCCGTGTAAAGTAAATAGTATGAAGTAACTAATGCATAATATATTGTATATGTAAAAATTGTGTATTCTCATATTGTAACTAGCTGTAATAATTTAATAAATGCTCTATATCGAAACCGCACATTATTTTTACATCTTGTAAATCTTTCCGGTTTTCTTTCTACTTTTTTTTTCCTGCTTAATTAATAGCTCGTGTTTGTGTTATTTCTTTATTCAAAAAAATTTCTTGAATATTGCGTGAAAGAATTATGAGAAAAAAAAGAAAGAAATCGCGCTGGGTAAGACGAAGTAACGGAAAATCCATGATTACGGGAAAAGGGAGGGAATGTACGGAGATGTGAAAAAAAGAAGTCAAAGTAGAGGGAGAGACAGGAAGGGTGGCGCACAAATTTTAGCGTGCGCCGCTCCTCCGTCTCGCTTTCAGCCCGCTCATCCCACGTAGCCTCCGCTGTTTCCTTCTCAGTATGATCCACGCGGTCCACGCGCGAGTACCGTGCATTTCAGGATATTGTTGTCGTTGTTGCACATCTTGTTTCGTTCATGACAAATAATTGCGAAATTACTTCGTACAGAAACTGCTTCTTGTGAAGGAGATTTGAGCTGATTTGAATTTAAAGATAAGCGAGCTCTATGATAGTAGTAATACACTTTTAATAAGTTCTCATAGTAATTTTTGTAAAAATTTATTTGCATAAATATGTAGGGCAAAAATTTTCTGTTAAAATTTTATTTTTGGTGTCTCATATCTTGCCGTTAATTTATCAACTTATTTAAGTTAGTTCAAACGTTCGTATATGATAAATTTACAAAGTTGTCGCGTTCTCTTTATCGAATCAGAGAATAATTACAAAATAATTTTGTTTAAAAGCTAAAAGAATACTTCTTGCCACAAAATTAAATTTGCAAAATTAAAATTACACTTAAGTGAAAAAAATTGAATTCAACTACTTTAAAAAAACAAGAAAGAAAAGTAAAATTGCTACACAAAGGTATTGTCTTATTAATTTTTAGGAAAATTAGCTACTTCTTTTTGTAATTTTTATCAATACTATTCGCACGATAAGCGAATAGTATTGATAAAGTGCATAAGATAAGTTTTTTATCAGATATGCTTCGCTTTACGGGTTTAGTATCTCGGTGCTTTTGTTCAAAATTCGCGAGTTTTCGGGATTTTCACATATTATACAAATGACCGATTTTTGCTGCATTGTAAATAGTTACAAAAATTATATATTAAGATTAACTTTACGCATAAATTAATCAGAGTTGAATTAAAATAGTTTTTTAATTTAGTACATATAAATTATGTAAAGAAAGATATTTTAGTTATCATTCGAATACAGATATATATATAGACTTTTCGACTTTTGTGTATTAAAAGTTGATGCAACTTTGTTATTCAAATCGAACGAGTAACTTTCGAATTTAATAAGCTCGATCGGTCTACGCCGATCCATCTTGCATAATGTATAATATCGCGAAGTTCTATGGCATAAATTCATGGCATAAATTCATATTTTGCCGATGCCACTCGAAGATGATATGCGATTCTCCATATCTTTTAGCTTACTATTACTTATTAAATTGTGTAAGTTTTGTCAATTGTTTTATGATAATTCTACAAATTAATTCATATAACGTTGTAATATTCGATACATTAATTATTCTTTTTAAAATTTTAACAGAAACATTATCTCTAGATTTGTTGAAACAAAATTACAATTAAATTATTCACAATTCAAAAATTATAGAAAAACAACTGTGCGTATCACCGAAATGTTTTACAATGAAGAAGAACGCCAAATTCTGAGAAGAGTCGTCTTGTACAGACAGAGTTGATCCTTCAAATTAATCAAGTCAATCCTCGATGGCTTTTTCTTCATACTTTTGGTGGAAATTATTCCATTCAAACTTTCTTATACGATCTACGGCCAAAAAGTAACTCCGTAAGTGCGAGCAGTCTTCATAAACGTTCAACTTTATACATCATAGTTCGTTAAATGCTGAAAAAGAAGATGGAGACGGTTCGCGGACAAGTGAATAAACATTTATCTCTTTGCCTCCTGCAAATGTCGAAAGAGTTGAAGAAAAAGAAAAATTTCGTATCGATATGAAGCGCGAGTGAAGAAGTTAAAAGTGTCTCGGCTGTTTGGAATTTGGACAGCGAACACTCTGTATCGACGGTGAAGTGAAAGCGTCGATGGCATCAAGAGACGAGCGACAAAGAGTGGAAACGCAAGTATAAAGTTGATTAAATCCGATACGCGCGGATTCCTCATATTAAATTATCGCAAAGTTGCTTCATTTGCATTTTATTCACATAAGATATTTTTAATAGAATTATTATTTCTTTCATTAGTCTTTATTTTAGCTAAAAATTCTGAAGCTTCAAAAATCAAGCTCCTGTAAAAATTGGTAGATATGAAAAATTGGAGGAAAAGATGCACTGTAAGCATATATCAGTTAATTGCGAAGAAAAAAATGCTCGTGACTGAAGCGTGATTTTTAAGTGCTGTCAATTACAAAGATGCAATTCGGTTAGTTATATCCACGCACGCGAAGCTCTCATTAATTGCGATCCCTTTATCGAAGTACTATAGTTATCAATTTTGTTCCAATACCGTAGTGCCTTGAACTTTCTCAAAAGCTATTTATATATTCGGCAGAACTAAGAACATTTTATTTGTTAAATTACATGCGCGATACCTGTTGCTTTAATACCTTGATATTTAATTTTTAAATAATTCAATTATTTTCATATATTTTCAACTGATACTATTCTATCGCGAATATATTCCATCATCATTGGTGCAACGAATTGGAATTGTCGAAAAGATAAATAAATATTTCTCGCGATAACTGCAAATAAGAGAATCAGAGAAAATCAGTATTTTTTTCCACGATAAATCTCGATAAAATTACAAAGAACACATAAAAATAGGAGAAATGGGATAACGGTCATAAAATGCGACTTTAATTAACCATATTGCAGCAGATGCAAATACAACTAATTAATTACGTAATCTCTAATTTTATTTTCATGTTTTAATTTTTAGAGTGCTTCTAATTTAACACTTTATAGGACAAACTTTCAGAGCGCTGAAAATAAAAAGTTTATGTAAGCATAAACTTAGCTTGGTTTACGAAATGAGGTAGAAGTATAATATTATGCTCTTGTTCAGAAATATTAATCAGTAAACAACAATTAGCAGTAATTGACTTAAGAGAATAATGATAAAATTTCTTAATTAATGACATATTTGCAAGAGAATTGATAATGCCTTTTATCTGTTTTATTAAATGATTATTTTCTATCCGACTCGCGATAAAGCACACTTTCATTGGCCTTAGAGGCGTCAATAGTTATCATGAAGCCGTGTCACTTTGCATGCGGGACCGCTAATAAATTACATCCGTATCTCCTGCTTCCATCGGGCCTGATCTCAAGCGCGGGTTAATTCCCGCTTCGCTTTAGGCGCTATCAGTGCAATGGCACTTCGATACTTTGTGCCTGCTGATGTAGGTACTTTCGTGGATTAGTTTCGTTGCACTTCAACTTTTTGTAAAACCAAAAAGAGCGCAACTTAAATGCAATGTCGAAATTATATTCCCTCTCAAATTTGATCACCACGCAGCTTTGCGATAAACATATTTTTGTAATGTCCTTCTGAATATCTTTTTTTAAGATATTGCATTTTAGAAATTATTGTATTAATATTTTCCTTATATAAAATAATGCAAAATAATTAAATTTATGTGCTCAAGAAATGTGCAGATTATAATTGGTAGAATAAAAGTTTTGCTATTTTTTTTTCTCAGGTGCACGAGTTAATATAAGGATTTCACTCAAAAACGTGATTGGAAGTATTGATTCCTGAGAAATATTTAGACGACCATGCTGATCTCGCAGAGCAATCTTACATCCTGGGCCAGCAACTTGACGATGCTGCACCAAATATCCTGCAATGACACTCTTCTAGACTGCGCCGAAGAATGTAACATCAATTCTGACGGATTCGACTATCTCTGCACCGCAGTCGAAAGAGGAACTCTCACCTCCTCGATCACCTTATTTTGCACACCCTGCGATTATGCGAGTTGCAACGTCAACGTGTCCTTGATTCTCAATAGCCTCGAGAGCATCAAGGGTGTTTTTTTGTCAAGGATACCAATGAGGGATTGCAACGTCACGTTCTTCGAGGAAGAAGTGAGTTTCTTAAAAATAAAAAGTTATTGGCATACAACAAATATCAAAGATTTGATTCACACAAAATGTGTTAACTTGAAAAATCGAAGGATTCAATAAGAACAGTTAAAAATCTTTATCCAAGGCGAAGCGATAAGCAATTTCAAGTCTTGACGTTTAGAAATTGTTATTTTTCGTTTCGACATCTTTGAAAATCTAGCTTTATCCTTGGCGTAAATATCGGGAGATAAATGTCGGGTGCTTTAGATTTTGGAGTGCTTGCCGGCCGTCAGCGTCGCCGGAGATCTGGCCGTGTCCTGCACGCATCGATCCAGGATCGGCGGCACGTGGATGGCGCGTCGCATTGATTGGAGTTTTCTATTCGTGGCGGTGTTCATAGTCGCCGGTGGATTAGGAAATATATTGGTTTGCCTCGCAGTGGGATTAGACAAAAAACTCCACAACGTGACCAACTACTTCCTGTTATCGTTGGCCGTGGCCGATCTTCTTGTTAGCCTTTTTGTCATGCCTCTGGGTGCCATACCAGGGTTCCTGGGTGAGTTATGATCTTCTTTTCATCCCCATCTTTATCCCTTTTCAGATTACTTATTCTCAAACCTTGAGAAAAAATATTCCAAAAATTTTATATTTTTCCAGACATTTCCAAACAGAGTGGAATAGAATAAAATTGTGCGAGTGAAAAAATGACAGAAAGTTCGGTAATTAATAAATGCACGGAAAAAAAGTACGTGTTTTGGCGGGCGCATTGAGATAGAATCTCGAATTAAAGTTTAGAAGATGCTGCGTAGTAACCCACACGATCAGATTACGTTTGTAACATAATCTGAACTTAAGACACCGTAGTGCAGTAGAATAACGTAGAAACGGGAGACGACGCGCGTGGAAGATCGCATATCCGTTTGCAACTCTTCCGGCCACGCGCCCTCCGCTGTAAAATTTCGTAATCACCGAGTAAATTGCCCTTCTAATTAACAATTAGACAGAACAGAGTTTGTTAAATAATTAATTAATAATTAAGCCAAAGCAAAAAACACACGCCTCCTGTATCCACGCTGTTAAATCGTTAATTTTAAAATGTCAGGTTTAACAATTTAGAATAAATGATAAAACAATCTGTGAAATTTTTACAATTTTGCCAAATTCTCAATACATACGTCCTTAAGAAGAATTATATTACTTGAAAATCATTGATTTCTTATCATGATTTTTTAATGCGTTTATGAATGATAAATTTAAATAAAGTTTGAATAAAGCTTTTCTGAAGAATCAGTTGTTTTCGCGTTTTCCGCCTTCAAGGGGAGGCTTTATCCGTGGGTTTTCATGTCACGTGCGCTTGTACTTCATCCTTCACGTGAAACACGTTGACGACACGCAGAGCATTAGCGGATTCATCGTCGCGGCTCGTTTATCTCGCAAACGAGACAGCTTTTGCTCGACGACCTGGAAGGAGTAATTTCCAGGCACACCATCAGGTCCGGAAAACTTAAAATCTAGACAACGACAATGCATTAATCGACTTCATCAAATCGTTAATATAGAACTCTATTAAAATATCAAATTATTTTTGTTTTTTTAATTTTTTGGTTTGTTGGTTCTAATGTTGAAATAAAAGCGTTTATGTTTTTGAGCATTGACCGTTTCGAAATTTTCCAGTTTGCCACATTCATAAAATTTTCTCTGATTGTATCAAAAATTAGGAAAAATAGTTGCACATGTTTTAATTTTCCTAAATTGTGCAATCACAAATTTTAATTAAAATTTTTATTCTCTGAAGCTTCAAATTTGCTAATTTTAATTTGCTAGCAATTAAAAATTGCCAGAAGTGAAAAATTTTTTTTTATAATGTAAAAAAATAGTTTAACGTCTTAATGACTAGCAAATAAGGATTGCTTCGGTGATATTACGCTTAATAACTCTTGACAATATTACGTCTAATATATCTTGATCCGATTACGGGACGTTATGATTACGGCATTAATTAATTTGCGTTTCGACTGAAATTACTGCGAGCAACGAAGCACATCGTATGGTCATTAAGTACTTTCGAGTGCCCAATCTGCGTCAGCTCCACGACAGCCCGCGATTATCTGGGATGACGCCTATTCATCATAAATCGCAAAATTTGCCTCAAGCATACCCTCAAACTTTTACATGATGTAATTACAAATATGTTTAATTATTAATTCATTTCATAGTCATCTATAAGCAGTCTGATAGAGAATCGATATGTTGCCGGAAAAACTCGGAATTATTTATGATCGCAAAATATCGTGCATACAAAACATTATAATACAAATGCTAAAAGTATAAAATACTAAATGTTTCGTTCAGTTAATAAGATGACATTGCAGTATCGTCAGCATTTCTAGCATGCTGAATGTACTGAAATTGATAAAAATGCGCTTTCTTTGAGTCGCTCGTTACATTCATTAAAATGCTCCGTTCATTTCTGACGTTTGTTTTTACATTTTCGCGAATATGCCGCGAGAATTGCATTGCGACGTTGTACATATGTACCTTGTTACGGAGATGTGTATCGGCGCGTAAAGAAACCTTTGTGGCCGGAAATTGGCAAATTTGCCATTTCAGAACAAGGTGTATATTTCATATTCAACAACATTCACGCGCAAATTATCAGCCGTTCCATGTTGCATGCCAATTCCTTCTCAACACAAGTACACTTTCTTATAAAATTCCTCAAAATTTTCTAACTTACTATAAACTTTCTGAATAGAAAAAAAAATATGCTCAGGACCAACTTTTGTTCATTAATTTTTATCGATTACACAGCTTTTCCAATTTGTGATTTGAATTTTACACGTTTTTATATTTTTATATTAAAAATTTCTGCTTTATCTCAGTTTTTGAATTTTATCCAAATTCTATTTTTTTCTGCATTTTGTCTGCATTTTACTTGGAGCTTTATTGCAGCATGTCTACTCATCAAGTCGTGCTGTAATATATTACTAATGAAATTCTTCACAATGCGGTCTCAAAGAAGATCTTCAATGTGATGCGACTATGCAAATTTTTGGGGTTGCTATGCATGCAGAAATTCTTGCCTTAATTCTCTAAACCAGGACAATGCACTATACAATAATTAATTAAGTTAACTATCTCAATCGTATATAGATATAATTTTCCTGCAAGATCAAAGGAGAAAACTGTGCTTCAAAATATATCACAATATAGTTTTTTCATTCAACATATAAAGTTTTATTAATATCGAATTGCAGTCTTGGAATTTGCATACTGTGCAAACTGTGAAAGTTGATACAATGAGAACGAGATATAAAAAAGAATTAAAAAATGTGATAAAAGTAGTAAAACCGATATTGATATCCAACAGTGATCAGTATTTCTCATCAAAAAGAAAAACGAAAGAAATAGTATGAACACAAAAAGGATAATAATGATAATTGAAACTTTATAGCTTAAATCTCTAATTAAAAACGTATTTAATTATAAATTCGCATTCATAAATTATTATTATCAAGTGTATCAACGAATTCTTTGCGTTTCTGGAAATCTTTGAAGCAACATAAATATCGGCAGCTCGTGGAAATTATACGCACAAATTGATGGTTTGTGTAAACACGTTTCCGACATTTGACGTCGTTTGATGTGATCCATTCATCGCATCACGTGAGCACATCGTATGTTTCTGCGCATTTGTATGCAACTTAGCTTATTTCTATTTACGCTGTAATAAACTATTTATTTTTTTATATTTCACTAAAAATGCCTAGGAAGAGTCAAAGAGTCACGATATCACGATACACTCAAATCTATTCCTCTCGCATTTAAGTAAAAGAACAATCCACGCAAAAAGAAATCGTGTACGATTTGCTATTAATCGCTATTGATATAAAACGATTTAAAATTAACGTTTCTTTGTCATTTTATCTCCGGATAATAAAGAGTCTAAAATAGTCATGAAAAGAAATACAATTCTTCTCTGCTGAGGCCTGAGCTTCTTAGATTTTCAATTTTTCAGGATATTGGCCGTTCGGCGTGGCGTGGTGCAATGTATACGTGACATGCGACGTGCTCGCGTGTTCCGCGAGCATAATGCACATGTGCTTCATCTCCCTGGGCCGTTATCTGGGCATTCGTAATCCGCTCAGGACACGTCATACGTCCACGAAACGAGTAGTGGGCTTCAAGATTACCGCGGTCTGGCTATTGGCAATGCTAGTCTCCAGCTTCATCACAGTATTAGGTAAATTATCTTCGACTTTTCAAAAGTGATTTTATGATTGCAGTTTCAACGTCTTATTTTGCTCACATATTCTTCAGGCATCGCCTTATTCCGACGTTAAAACAGCTCGAAAAGATTGCAATTTTTAGACTATCAAAAGCCATGTTTTAAAATAATTTTTCTCAATGTAATATTACATCACTATAATTCTCAAAGAACAAATTTTTAAAAACTTAATTACAATTTTTCGGGCATACATAATAATTTTTATCAAAGTAAAATTAAAAGACGCGATCAATAGTTGATTAAGGAAGGCCTTCCTCTTTGCTAATCGAGGCGAGAACTTAACGATTGTTGCAGGTATAATCAATCCCTCGAACATCATGCCACAGCCAGGAATGTGTGTCATCAACAACCGGGTGTTTTTCGTTTTGGTTCTCTGATCGCCTTCTACATCCCTATGATCGTTATGGTAACGACTTATGTGCTAACAGTGCAGTTGTTGCGCAAGAAAGCACGATTCGCTATCGAACATCCGGAAAGCAATCAATTTCGGAGATTAGGGGGTAGATACGCATCAACAAAAACACCATCAACAGCGTCATCATCATCGATTACAACCACCACTACTGCCGCCATAAAATCATCCACTTTTCCGGCGAGACAAATTCGGGCTTCCGGTCGAAGCGTAGAAAAAAAGAGGTGAGAAGTTCGAAGTCACGAATTCACTTATTATAATTACTAATATTTTAGTATACATAATAAAACATTTGTCAATTTTTTACAAAAGAATTTTCATAAGCGTGACGAGACCTATACAATGGCAGCCAATTATAAATAAAAAAAATAAATACAATTTCAATTTCATAAGCTCAGTTTCTCGCATAATAAAGTCATGATTAAGACGCACAAAGTGTCATTTTATCATCGAGAAAGAAAAAGATTAAATAATCGAATTTTCAAACAAAATACATATACATTAATGAAATTATTAGATGTAAAATAACAGAAAAGTGATTTTAATATGAAAAGATTTGTGTTGTTCTGAAGTAACTCCACAAATAGTTTCTGGCCGCTTTAGAAAGTGTTATTTAATTGTTGCAACAGTAACAAATGTGATGGCGCGAGAAACGTCTTACCACAATTGGAATTAATGGTGAACGGTGCCGGAAATACCGCCACAGAACCTCGGCACAAATTGCAAGTGGATCAGGCTACCCAAACGCCAGAGAATATCGCGCGCGAAACACGGAACTTCACCCTACGAACTCTGAAATTGCAGTTAAACGTTATACCGACCACCCGGAATCTCAAGTAGCTTTTTTTTTCACAATACTCTAGAAACGAAAATCTTTGATATCTTTTAAGATTGATATTCTCCTCTAGGTTTCTGGCGAGGCGAATGAAAAAGAGATCCCTGACCGCGAATGCGGTCGCAACTGAACAAAAAGCGAGTAAGGTTCTGGGATTAGTGTTTTTCACGTTCGTGTTGTGTTGGGCGCCATTCTTCCTGCTTAACATTTTCTTCGCCGTGTGTCCCATGTGTTCTGTACCGCGGCACGTGGTGGATACGTTTCTCTGGCTGGGCTACGTGTCCTCGACAATCAATCCAATCATCTATACCATCTTTAACAGGACTTTTCGAGCTGCATTTATTCGTTTGCTGAAATGCAACTGCTCGAGGTAATAAACTATTCTTTACCGTTTCTGTCGATACAATATGTTCCAGCTTTAATATGCATTGCTCATATGTCACGAAAAAAATTAAATTCAGTACAAAATGTTTTAATTTTTTATTCTTCTAATACTTTTCTTGTGTAATTTAATTTTATATTTTATGTTGTCCGATATTGATTTAACTAAGTTTTTTTAAGCATCTGAAAGAAAGTTTCTTGTAAGGAGAAAAAGTAAATCTAATAAAACTAAAATTTTTTGCAGATCTGCAAGACCTTCGAGAATTCGTTCGGTCACTGAAAGCAGTAGAGGAACGATGGGTCTCTGTACGTCAGGTGTTCTGCCACTAGCCATCAGCCTTCAGGGCACACCCTTGCTAACCCCGATGTCAAACCCCACGTCAACGCCGGCGTCGGGAAACTCTTTGGTGACGATGATGCATCAGACGCCGAGCTCGCTATATCGCGATACCTTTTTGGTCGACGAACGTGATCAAAATGATCATTAACTTTCATCGCGATAACCCGAAAAATCACCTTGCGTTTAACGAAAATAGAAGATTGTAGTTAAACATTATTTTAATGTTTCGACTGAAGACAAATACAAAGTATATTTACCGATAAATCTAAAATAGTAATACGGATAAATTTCTTTTAACGAATAATGTTGAAAACTTGCGCTAACTGAAAACTAATATATTATAGGAAATGGTATTAGCATACCCGAATAAATAAACTACTCAAAACCTTCCCCAAAACAATAACTCTGCAAATTATGTATAAAGCACAGAAACATTGCAACAGACTCATGTCCTACGAATATAAAGTATCTAAAGAATAGGCGCCAAGGCCGATGCCGTTCCGTCTTATATACTTTACGCATAAAATTTTACTTATACCTTATAATTACCTTATAATTTATTGATAGATAGCAAGGTTCTTAGTTGCGCAACGCGGTAGTTACACTCGGCTGACCAACTTATCATCTGTTACGCGTCGGACGCGGCATCATACACAGTCAAATGTATTTATAAAATCTTCTTTAATAAGGGCTAATTTAAAAAATTAAATTATTACTCTGTTATTTCTTAATAATTGTCATGACAAATAAAATTTTACATGTTAATTGTATTGTTTTATATTTTAATAGTTAATAACATATTTTTTTTTAATTGAATGGACATCATCAGATATTTGAATGATGTTTCTTGCTAGTAAAAAAACAAATTTTATCACAAGTGCTTCTTTATGCTTCAATAAAAAAAGAAAGTAATATATATTGTGCCAAATAAATTTATCAGAAATAACTTTACAGATGAAGTTGATTTAAAGTGCATTGATGCAAAAAGAAACAGGTGTCAAAATATAAAGTCATTATATACTTTCAGATGATTTTCGATAAGATAATACCAAATTCAAACTGCATTTAATATTTAGTGTGCATTAAGCATTATATTATTCTTTACATGTGCTTAATTTTCTTTCGAATAATATTTCACTAGATATACGCACTCTCGCGCGTGTACGACTCATATCTCTCATCTGAGAGCGACTGGCTCGAAATTTTTCGCGGGATGCTTAGCGCACGGTTCAATTTGCGTCCGGAATTTGTTTTATTTTAATAATATTGAAATGAAAAATTAAACTTACTCACCGACACGATGCGCAGCAGCGGAGTTGTTTTGTTGATCCGCAAAGTTGATCTGTAAAACACAAAAGAATAGCAGCGTTTAAATTAATTAGTATTAAAAAAATAATTTTGCGCACATTAAAATGATCTTTCACGTGCGAATAATAACAGCAAAACCGTAACAACCCCCACCCCCCAAATGCTGCAGCTTTGAAACTCTAACATAAGTTCTTAAAAGGCTAAAATCAAAGGGTTATCTCGACAACATATGTCAAGATTAAAGTCATTGAAGCATCCTCTATAATGCATGATTACCGAAATTTTATAACTTCTAAGATTTATAAGAATCGAATTGTTTCAGTTCATGTTTTATAATTTTTGTGAAAGCATCAGATATAACTTATTTCGATTTTTAGGTTTACCAAATAAATTTTATGTTGTAAACTATGATTGAATTAAAGGCTTCTTTTTAGATTTTTACAGATATATTATAAGAAATACAACACTTCCCAAAAGAAGATTATAATCATTCATCATTTAACAATTATCAATAAATAAAGTGTAAATAAATTACTTAAAATGAATAAGCTTATCACTCTCTTCGAAGCATTGTATAATTTATTATCAATCTGCAAATATTAACTTTATCTCTTATAACAGTCTTATAAAAAGTAAGCAGTTTTAATCGCGAATTACATTTAACCGTGGCGCTTATACGTAATCAAAAGCGAAAATATTACGTCAACATGGTGCACGCTAAGCTGTTGCTTATTTTCGCTCTTACGATTTTTTATCTTGAAGGACTTCATGGACATGGAATGCTTATGGAACCCGTGAATAGAGGAAGTGCTTGGAGAAAGGGATTTAAGACACCTGTCAATTACGACGATGATGGAAACTACTGTGGTGGCTTATTTGTAAGTACATTATTATTGTTTTACTATGTTTGATGTGTTAATCAAAAAATTAAAGTTTATATCATACAGAAATTTTCAAAAAATTAAAAAACGAAATAAATCTGTTTAATTTCTTGCTTGCAATTTAATATCTTTCTCATTTGGTTTTTATAATTTCGTTTGATTACGTTTTGCGAACAAAACTTGTAAAATATTGAAAGACAATTTTTAATTTTTCAATAAATAGACAATTTTTGCTACATAAGCGATGTAATGTAACATTTAATATCTTATATCATCTACTTTAAATAATCTACTTTAAAATGAAAAGCTTAATTATAATTAATAATTAATAATTATCAATTTATACAGGTGCAAATAAATAATGGTGGCAAATGCGGTCTTTGCGGCGATGATTATAAGATGCCGCAGCCTAGGCCAAACGAAAATGGTGGAAGATATGGAACTGGTACTATTGTAAAGACGTAAGTATTACTGAAAAAGGTTATTTAAAGAAAACCAAAAATGGGCAAAATCAATTTCAATTATCGATACAGATGTAATTAATATTAAAATTTTGCAGCTACAAGGCTGGAGAAATGATTGAACTGGTGGCTAGATTAACTGCAAATCATATGGGTTATTTTCAATATTCTATCTGTCCCTTAAATCACAATAAAGAGTTAGAAACCGAAGAATGCTTTGCCACGTATCCGTTGAAATTGTCGGACGGCAGCAATAAATATGTCCTGAAGAGCTCTAAGAGCGGGGAATATCAGATGAATGCCTATCTACCCGCAGGTCTCACCTGTGAACACTGTGTTCTCAGGTAAAAATACATCGTTAGAAATAATTAAATCTTGGAAAAGAGTGATAAAGATAATGAAAACAGCACTACGCTGGAGAAACGCGTGTATAAAACATTTTTTATATTTAATTTGATACTTCCATTTAACTTTTAGATGGGAATACATTGCCGGAAACAATTGGGGCAAGTGCGAAGATGGCACACATAAACAAGGCTGCGGACCTCAAGAAACGTTCAAGTCTTGCTCCGATATTCGTATCGTATCGTAATTATCTTCTACCGAGAAAATTGCTTTGATTACCTTGTTGTTTAATAATGTATTTGGCATGCGTGTTTTATAGGCTGCGGAAATGATTATATTTGGAGAAATGATACTTTATATATTTAAAATTTCAGTCATTTACATACAACAATAAAATAATTGAGATAAATGCATATATTTATTCTCCTAGAGAATTTCAATCACAACTCTTTAAATTTATTATACGCAAGCGAATCAAATCAACATACGCATTTAATTAAGTAACATAATAAATATGCTTTGACAAATCCAATAGCTTTATGCGTACGCTTATATGCGTATGCAAATATAGTATTTATAAAAAGCAGCAAGTGAGCTCCTGCTAATTTAATTACGCTATTACTTTCCATCGTAAAAAGCCTAAGAGGATCGAATCTCGGACAAAATGCAGAACAGTCCGTGCAAGAAAGATAAAGGTAGCGAGAACGTCGGTTCTTGTCTAACTTGATCTTTCACACTCGCGTCCATACGCGCAACATGTTAGTCTCACAGACATATATCTACACATGCGACCCAGAAAGACAGAGACAGTGAGATTGTCTCTTCTTATCAAGCAGTTATGCTATCGTGGAAATTTTTCCTCAAGCATCTGAGCTGCACTAGATACATATGAAGTGATTTTATACTTTCTTGTTGCGAAGAAGTAATACTTTTATACGAATTTTTTTTTGTGTATTTCTTTTGTATAACTGTGAAACTTTGTAAAGAATTCGATTTTGCTATTTAATTCTCCAAAATTTATAAATAAAGGTGTCTCATCTTATCCACATTTGCATTTTTGGGTACTAAAGAAAAATTTCTTTTTAACATTTGAAAAAAATCGTACTTTACAAAAATTTGCACAATTCTTCTGAATACGCGTATCATAATTGTTATGCACTTATCTTCATATTGCGACACTGAGATCAGCACGATTTCGCATTTCGTTTCCATTCCAGCAGAGTCGCTACTCTCCTGGCCATAAAATAAGCCGTCATCATCTTTAGTTCCTGCATTTCTCGTTTTATCAATGGGGGCGCGATGTTTCTTGGCTACAAAAGTTAGCCATTGGCAGTCCATATTCTATATTCAAAGAGAAATAGAACACCTTGATTTTTATTTTTTTTTTTAAGTGATGCTCGCGGTATCCGCGGCACTTCACTTCGATAGTTACAAAAATGACAGGCGTAGTGCACGCAGCAATTATATGTCTTCGCTAAGCGCGTTGACGTGCATGACAAGTGTCGTGTACCCGGGCAGTGGATAGTAGTCATTGCGAACGAGCGCGACTTTGTTGCGTGCATACGTGCGTAAGTGCATGTGTGCCTGCCTGCCTGCGTAAACCGCGGGTTCGAGTTTACGAAGAGTGCGACGAAATATGTCAGAGGTTCCAAAAGCATGAGCGAGGGAGCGGACTCGGTTGCCCAAACCTGCGAAGATTTGCTCGAACACTCGACGGACGAGGGCGAGCATGATGGCGAGCGCAATGCCACGGCTACGACGGCGATGCAGCAACAGCCACCTCCGCTGCCGCCGCCGCCACCACCACCTCCGCCGCCATCCTCGGCAATGACATACACCGGCAGGAGGCCGCGTTTCGGCACCGGCAACGTACCGCCGTCGCCCTACGTGTGGGTCGATGGCCGACAATTACGGAGCGCCCTAGCCTGGACCAAGAAAAGACCACTGCGACGAGTCAGCTTTCCCCTGAACGACAATCACTTGGTGACAAGCTACCTGGAACCTGCCAATCCCTGGCAACACGGTGAGCTCACCCATCTTTCTGCGATATACACATTCTCTATTTTTCGCACCTGACGTTATGAGATTGAGTATTAAATGCATTTAGTATTACAGGATGTCCCATGGGAAGTTGCTGAAACTAAATGTGTGTGTCCCTGCTCTCTCCTGATTCAATAATCAGTTGTACGAACATAAACACAAGAAACCCGTCACTTTTGCTTTAGCCACTGTTAAAGTGGGAACACACGCGACCTCACGATGGAAGAAAAGGTCCATTTTATTGAGTGCTCCTTTTTCGAAAGCAAAATATAATGCTTACAGGGGATTTCGTACTAAATTTGGCATAAAGTTGCTGGAGAACAAGGTCAAAATTTTTCAGCTCCATATCGTGTTACGAAATTCTTGTCCAAATTTCATTAAAATTATTCCACATCTTTTTTCTAGAGTGATTGATAATTTTGAGATCACACTTCAAGATCGTAGACACGACCTATCAAGTTCTTTTTACACAATAGTGATCGAAGACAGTTGACAAGGTTGAGCGATATTTTCATGAAAATCTAAATGTCTTTAGATAAGCTGCTTAAACTGGAATGGCTAAATCATCATTGCACAGGATTCGAAAAAGTTTTCTGAAATTACATCCTTACAAAATAACAATTTATCAGTTATTAACTGGAATGTGTTAAAGTGCAGCATGTTAAATTCTGCGAAACAATAATGTAATTGTCCAAAGTTGAAGAACTCGACAAGAAACATTATTTTTTCCGACACTTTTGGCTAGATGGATATGTTAACACATTGATAGCCTGTGAGGTGAAATTACGCAACGCTATTGTTCACAATGCAACCGGCTGTCAATGTGTTAATAAACCAAATTATCGAAAAAGAAGATCCTAACATTGTTTTGGCGAAACCTCTCCATCAAAAAATTTGATGCGCACTTCGAAAATATATATCATTAAAATTGTCAACTATCAATCAATATTTGGCATTTCTTAATAAAGGTTTATCATATGATAAAAATATCTCCGATTGTTTTTCGTCTATACGTAAATAAAACTGACAAATGTGTGTCCTTTGATAGAAGGTACTTCACTGTTCCCGCTTCCTGTTTTACGTATTTAAAAATGACAGCTGATTAGTCAACTCGGCAACTTCCCACAGGACACCCTGTATATTTTAAAGCGCGATGTGTCTTAATTTATATTTAATGATGTTGACTTGTACGGTTATACCGACATTATATCTAGGTTGAGAAGCTCTGGTTAGCAGTTTAATGTTGACCTTTATGACACAGGCAGAGGAAGATAACATAGTTAACCAGGATTAGTGCTGAAAAGTTGATACAACGAATTTATAGATATTTTGTTACAAAATCTAAGGAACATTTCATGTTTGCACAGCGCGTAATTATGCAATAATCCCTTTTCAATAAATTTTTTAACATTGTGTATGAAAAATATCTCGATCAAAATAATTGTTTATTACTTCCGTAATTTTTTAAATACATCATTCATTATTAAAGTTGATTATTTATAAAAATTATTTGCCGTACTTTTTACTTGACTATTCTCTAACGCAGTTATATTTTGTTACTATGCTATTAAGTTTTTTATAGACTGCAGAAGCAAAGGATTTCACAATATGAACCATGTACTAATTATAAATTTAACATGATGTAGAGGCTGTGTATCTAGTACATTTATGTATAAACATATAATAAAACTATAATACTAATTTCTTTTTTTACTACAATTGCTGTAAAACACACAAATATTATAATGATTCTCGTAAAATAATTAAATAAATAATTTTATACCATAATATTTTAAATGGAGACGTACTTTTCTTTTAAATTGATGTTTGTAATTATATACTGTTTATATATTAAAAAATAAAAATGTGAACAATTGTTTTCAGCTGAAAATGTGAATCGAGAGGACTTAATATCCACATACAAAGAGTCTTGCGCACGTCACGGCACCGAACCCTTACAAAATGTTTTAGTTCAGCTCGAGGTAAGTGCAGAACACTTAAGCTATTGTAAAGAATTTTATTCAAACAATTTTTGTATGCACATTGCAAGCGAGATTAGATTTAGTTGTAAGCAGATTGCGGTTTCCTTATTTTTTTATTTTACATTGACAAAAATCCTATTTTTTAATCTATTATCGTAGTCTTTTAAATTCTTCCACCAAGTCAAAATGATGCTCCTTCATTAATTTATTTCATTTATGAAAAAAATTTGCGTGAATCGAAACTGCCATACAATGGATATCGAAGTATTAGTATTTATTTCTCGATCAAAAACTCGCGTATGCTCATCAATGAATAGAAAGATGCGTTATCGGAAAAATACAATCGCTGCTCAACAATTTAGAACGAATATAACGCACTGTTCAAATTTTTCAATACACCGAGATAAAACTTTATATTGTTTTCGTTGTTCAGAAACAAATTTCAAATAGATTAAAAAATTGCGGGTATCAAAAAACAAATTGTTGTTTCATTGTCCAATCGCTATTTGCTTTGCTTCTTAGTTTGGAATTACATTGAAATAGATAAAGTTAACATTCCAAAAAATTCAAATACAAGAGAAGAAGTTTTAATTAATATTTAACATGCTTTCCTTTTTTGTCACACAGAATCTGAATATATCTCAAGACCGCTGTGAGGAATTGAATTTGAAGGGGGAAACCTTGGATCAGGATCATTCCGAACCATTGGAGGAAATATTGAAGAGAGTACAATTTAATAAAATTGATTTAGAAGGAACGTCTTTGAATGATGAGGTATTTCTCCAAAAAAAAAATGCATGCATTATTATTTTAGATATTTTACATATTTTCGTAATGTGTGTGTGAGTGGAGTTCAATGTACATACATTCCATTTCATTGAGCAATTGTTATTATAGAGTTCCATAATATTATTTGATATGCTGGAATATTATGAATCTGCAAGGTACTTGAATATTTCGTCTAATCCAGAAATTGGAGCGCGTGGCTGGCAAGCGTGTTCGCATATGATTAAGAAGGTACTCATCCGTGCAATTTCAAAGAATCATTATGCTGTTATAATCAAAATGCGAAGAGTGTAATTATATAATACATTTTTTTCTCTTTTTAGACTCAGTGTTTAGAGCAACTCGAAGCGAGGGACATAACGTTTAACGAACAAAACATGAACATTTTAAGCCGTGCATTACGATTAGTTTGCCATCTACATGTTCTTAAATTGGAAAATTGTGGACTGTCAGGCAGAGCATTTATTATACTCGGTATTTATCGTATAATAAAATTTTTTGTATATTAGGATATTATAATATACGTTGCGCCACTACAATTCTATTGTGTTGTCTGCAACTCGTTAAATATAACAATATTGATATTTATAATTTGTAGGAGTAAAAAAAGAAAAATTGGCGTCTCTCGTAATATCAACCAATGTCAAGTTACCAAAATTAGAGAAACAAAAATTGGAAAATTATTTTTATAATGATTAATATGAATTATGATTCTTTCTTTCCGAAACAGTGACAGCCCTAAAAATGAATAGTGGCATACGGGAACTGTATTTAGCCGATAACGGGCTCGACTTATATGACGCTATACAGCTTGGATCTCTCTTAAGAATGAACAATCATTTGCAATTGCTCGATATTAGGTATGTATTAAAATTAAAACGATTACTTTTCTGCAAATCTTTCTTTAAATAAAGAAGTAAACGATATATACAAGAATGTTTCATATTGTTTATTCAAACGCTCGTGTACAGGTAGAGCGCGTATTTTAATTAATATTCTCAATTATTATTGAGAAAATTGCAAAAAACGGTAAAGGATTTTTCTGTTTTTTTCCGCGCTTTAGCGCACACGAGCGATTGGACGAACATTATAAAATATGAGTATATATCAGTATTCCTTTGTTAGATTATTAATTAGACTTTTTTTGTAGTTCCTATAAACTATTTAAACTTATTTGTTGGAAATTGGCAGAAACCAGATTGTAGACTTGCTTTATATTTGTAAAAGGCATGCATTGGTTCAAGCAAGTAATGATGTTACGTAATTCTTTTTTTTTGAGAGAAAATGTTTTTTTCCTTAGTAATAATAACGTCCAGGACGATGGCGTACGAGATATATTGGAGGGTTTAATCAATCAAGTTAACGAAGATAAAACTGGCAAGGGACTCAGTATCCTGATATTGTGGAACAACCGTCTGACCAAGAAATCATCGCCTTATTTTTCGAGAATTATAGTATGTACTACATCTTATAATCTCTTATTTGTCAATAATTGTAATATTGATATTTCACGGTAATTTTTACAATTTGACGTTGAATTGCGCGATGTCTGTACAATAAAAATATGTTGTTTGTAGCGTAACGCATTTACTAATCAGTTATATTCGCAATAATTATCTTCAGGCTTTATCAAAAACATTGGAAACTCTAAACATCGGTCAAAACATGCTGACGGACGAAACATTGAGTATCGTTAACGAGTCATTGAAGAAAAATCGTGTTCTCCTACAATTAGGCATGCAATCGACAGAACTCACATGCGAAGGTATAATTACGCTCGCTGAGATAATGGAGACGAATCAAGTTTTGCAGGTGAGCTTTCTGCTTTGTGTTTTCACACTCTCGATGCTCTGCGCTATGCTCTATATCGTTTCTTTTGTTCACAGAGAATAGATTTACGGGACAATAGTATACAGATGCGCGGAATGCATGCTCTCGTAAATGTCATGAAAAAGAATAAAACCATTACGCAGATTGATTTGGACGACAAACCTCGAATAAGAATAGTAAGTGTCGATGCTTATTTCACGCATCACAAAGATAATACCGCCTTGTACAGTCTAATTTTTAGGGGGCAAAGAGTAATTTCTTATCCGAAGACCGAGAAAGTGTGCATTACGTCAGAATTGTGAGAAAACTAAAGAAAAATATGCCAAACATGATAACTTTCACATATTTACAATTCCGTTAAAAAAATTCTATTGTAATTTTGCGTTTATCTTGAAATATAAATTCTTCTGATGTACCTAAGTCGCTTCAATAATTTTCAATCAAAAATACACGCAGCAAAATTCCACTTGCTTCGTAAAACTCACCGCTCTTTCTTTTTGTCGAAGGACGGTCCGGTGCACCAGTACATAGAAATGGTCGCGGAAATTCGCAGCTGCTGCAGCAAGAATGAGGAGTACCGCCAGTTGGAGGAGTCCGTCGAGGACGCCGAGAGTCCGCAGCATCCGAGCCGGCTGTTGAACGCGAGCTCCCGTAAGATCTCGCTTACCTGTCAGACACTGCCAAGCCCGGCGTCGCGATCGACGAAGTCGTTGACCGCCAACGAGCCGGCGGCGTGCGGCATGCTGGAGCCGAAGCGTACCAGCGGCGGTCGCCTGCGCTCCCCGGCTCCCAGTCCCATTCCCTCCCCCGTGGCCAGTCCGATTCCCAGCCCGTCCCGGAATCGCTTCGTCGTATGCCGGGTGTCGGAGACGCTGGTGCGCTCCGCGGAATCCTCAGCGTCCTCCTCACCGATCACTCCGCCCTCTCTCGGCTCCTCGCCGTGCTTCTTCTCTAACGCGAGCGGCGGCTCGTCGCGGTTTCGCGTGTCGGTCGTCGAGTCAACGGACACCGGCCGTTCGCCACCCAAGTCGGTCGTCGCCTCCTCCAATAGCGGCTCGGTGACGATCGGCTTCAATGTTGAAATCCATGCCGCTGACTCCGGCGATACCGACAGCGCAGCCAAGACGGATACGGCCGCTAGTGATAACGTAGCTGCATCCGTAGACAAATTTAGCGTAATCCCAGCGACGAGAGGAACAGCTGTGAATGAAGAGGCGCGATCGGCCGAGCGCAAAATTCAAACGCAATCCGCGGCGGACGAGACCGTTCTCGCGACGTGTAAGAATGAATGCGGTGTGGCGGCGAGGGTGGAAAAGGGGCGATTAGACCAAAGCGGTGCAGTCCGGACATTGCAGTCCGAAAGGAACGAGGACATTGCGATAAAGCGCGAGGGTAATTGCGATGAGAGCAACGACGTTACGACTGATTTCGAAAGTGCCGCGACGATCGAAAGGGATGCCGGGGTTATCAGGGATCATCGTACCGTGTATACAAGTACAAAAGAACTACAGGTACCTGCTTATCCGAACGAAGCTACTTCTTCGGCGAAGATTAATGTAATCGAGGATTGTAAAGTTTCGAATAGCGCGAAAAGGCCGCTTGTAGATGATATTTTGGATTACGGCGCGAAACAAGAGGCAACTTCGGAAGAGTTATCCACCTGCATTTCGGAATCTTCCGCGAGTACCGTCACGGAAACGTCTTCCGCTCGTCTGGCGGAACCGCATTCGCAAGAACCAACGAGCACGTCGATGCAGAAGCACAAATCCAACCTGGACAAGCTTTTGTCATTGTTCCAGCATCCCGGCCAGCTCTTCTCGGACACCTCGAGCGCGGCTGCGGAAACGAAAAGCACTCTGCAAGAGAATATCAATGGTGTGATGGCATTGGGTGACAGGCTACAGCAGTACCTGAAGGAAAGCCGAGCCAAGCTCGGCACCGACAACTCGTGGAACTTCTTGGAACACGATTCGCCGCCGAAGAACAAATCGATGAAGCTGAATGTGTCGCAGCTCCAGAACTTGACCGGCATGTTCACATCCTTCAAACTCGAACCGTATTCGAGTTTCGTCGTCGAGCACGGCACCAAGTTTTTTAGTCAAGCGAAGAATCAGGATGCAAATGTGCGAGAGAAGGATTTAGATAATTTAGATAAATCTACGGAAATCATGGTCGGGAGGATTGGCGAAAAAGATTTGTTTAGTCAAGAAAAAAATCCGGTTGCGAGAAGCAACGATGAGAACTTAATTGGGCCGAAGAACGATCAAGTGACGAGGAATAGCGAGAATCAGATTACAAAGTGCGATGAGAATGATTTAAATGATAAGGAAAAGAGTGAAACTGTAAATACCAACGAGGTCGAGAATTTATCCGATCGAGTTAGCAGAAATGATAAAGAATTGATCAGCCATGAAAATAATCAGATTTTAAATAAGCAGAGTAATTTATTCGACGAAATGAAAAGTGAGATTGTAGAAATCGAAGCGAGAGATTTGCACGAAGAGGAGCGACGAGTCGCCGAGAACGCCAATGTGCGTTTCGAAATGCGAAAAGCGGAGAATCAAGTTGTTGAAGACGGTGAAAATTTGGAAGATCGGAGAAAAGATAAAATTGCGAGTGACGACGAGCGCGATTGGGAAAAGATATCGACGGGAAACAGCGAGGATTTGGAAAGTAGAATTGCGAGAAATGACGAGAGAGATTCTGTGGACGATGCGTGTGTTGACGACGAAGGGAGTGCATGTAGCGTGGACAAGTTACAATGGACGAAATTCGACTTTAGTGATCAACTGTTATCTGAAAGTGTGCAATCAAAAGACAATCTTGTTGATAATTTAGTATTAGATGACTGCCTCGCGACGGACGCAGCAATTTTACCTCCAGTTTTACCTTCGCCGAGTAAGTCCATTGCGTGTACAACTGTAAAATTAACGAACATAGCCGAATATTCTACTTTAGAATTAAATAAGATCGACAGCACAGGGTGTAATTCAAAACAGGATTCTAAACATATAGAGCGTGATAACGAGTGTTTGAAGCGCGACGAGATTTTAGGGAACGACAGTGTAAAGTGTTTAGAACGCGATGACGCGGTCGGAGAAGCGAACGCTTCAACGGCGAGAAAGACATGTGATAAATCACGACGGACAGTATTAATCAGACTAGTAATAATTAG